ACAATAGGAAATAGAATCTGAACTAATAAAAACTATGCCAGAAAGATACACCAAGAACATGAATACTGGGCTAGGCGTGGTGGCTCAGGTAATTCCAGCACTTTGGGAAGTTGAGGCGGGCGGATTACCTGAGGTCAAGAGTTTGCGACCAGCCTGGCCAACACAGTGAAACCTCGTCTCTAATAAAAATTCAAAAAATAGCTGGGTGTGGTGGCGCACACCTGTAATCCCAGCTACTCAGGAGGCTGAGGCATGAGAATTGCTTGAACCTGGGAGGCAGAAGTTGCAGTGAGCCAATACTGCACCACTGCACTCCAGCCTTGGTGACAGGGGGAGACTTCGTTTCTAAAATGAAGAACATGAATACTGAGATGTTAATAATGGCCATCTCTATTCTAGGGAGTGAAATAATGGTAGCGGTTTGCTTCTTTGTGGTTTCCTGTATTTACCACAAGAAGGCAAACATTATTATTTTTGAGACAAGGTCTCACTCTGTCATCCAGGCTGTGGTTCACTGTAGCCCCGACCTCCTGGGCCCAGGTGATCCTCCCACCTCAGCCTCGCTGGCAGTGTGGGTCACTGCACCCAGCCCATTACTTTTATGGTTAGGCAAAAATCATGCTTTCTAAAAGCAAGTGATGAGATGTAAGGATGCTTGTGCTGGAGCAGAGGGGTGCTTCTGAGATCACTCTGGGCCTCAGCTACTCCTTGCTCACTGGTACTCCCTTCCTGACAGCACTGGTCAGCCAGGGCATAGGGACTCACCTTCGGGGGTCTCCTTCCCCTAGCCTGTCAGTCAGGACATAGCTGGTCTTCTCACCCTCTTTGGTTAAACCCTAGTAGGGAGAGGAGTGAAAGAGACAAGGCTTGAAGCCTTTGGACAGCTCAGGTAAAGTATCCTGGTCCCCACTGGTCCCCAGCTCTGGTTCCTCCCTGCCAAGCAGGGTCAAGATTGGCAGATCAGGGATCCCTGGCAGAGGCCCCAACTCCCACGGCAGCTGGCACCATGACCACCAAATAGCCTGTTTCCTTTTTTTTTTTTTATTATTATTATTTTTTTTTTATAGCCCCTGTTTCCTAGTGGAAAAGCCCATGGTCTTAGGGGAAGGGTACTGAGAAAGGGTTAGGTGGCCTGAGTGTGGTTTCTGGTGGCCTCTGCACCCCTAAATAAATACCTGAAAAGAAACTCTATGAAGTCAGGGGCAGGTTTGCCGCATTCCCTTCTATACCCTCGTGCTTAAGGGTCTGGCCCAGAATGGACACCAGGGGATATTTGCTGAGCCAGTAAAGGGAGGGACAGAAGGAAGAACAGTCTTGACCCCAGATTGAGAGTCAATCCAATTTGAAGTGGAAGCTGTGTGAACCTGAGTGACTGAACTAACCTCTACATATCTCAATATCTTAATCTGTAAATGAGTATAAAGACCTACCACATAGGGGTATAAGGACTAAACCTGTTAAGGTTGGAGAATGAACAAGACACTTAACACTGGTTATAGCTGGGGAATGGGATAGGTGATAGGGAACGATCCATTATTTTATCTAGAACTGTTTGAAATGTTTGCCTATAAGTTTGTATTACGTATAATAAAAACTAAGGACCAATTACACAGATGCCAAAATGGCAATTTCCCTAGTCCTGAAACTGTGATGCCACCCTGTGATGCCACTCAGCTGTGGCTTCTCCAGAATCTACAGGAGAAGGGCTGTGGTCATTTCAGGGCTGAAATATGGCCATACCTGGCCCTATGGTAGGGCTCCTCACCTGGACAGGCTCCCCATCACGCCACACCAGACCTTCTCCATCACTTTCCCAGCAAAGGTGAACTTCCTGGCCCACCCATGCCTCTGGGATGGTCAGCTCCACCCGGAACCAGCAGGTCCACCATCTGCAAGAGAGCTGTTGTGATCGGCCTAGAGGTAGAAGCCCTCTCCTGACATCCAACACCTTTAACCAACACTTTGGATAAAGTGTTGGCAGGGGCCTGAGACTCTCCAAGCACCTGCAGTGTCACAAGGTACTCAGCTTTGAGCCACAAGAAAGGAGCAACAAGGTGAGCGGCAAGATAAGGGAAAGAGGCAGAGGTTATCAGAGTTCCGTTAGGGTGCCCAGAAGCGGCTACAAGGGGATGAAAACCCTCCCCTGAAGACTGAGGAACCAGGGAGCTGTTCCCAACAGAGGGTGCTGCTCAGTCCCGCGTAGTTGTCTAGGGCAGAGGGCGGACAACGAAGGCGTGGCCAAGTGCTGGGTTGGGACGTCCCTTGGGCCCGCTGGCCCCGCCCACCCACCGGATGTTACCTACGTGGGTCCGAAGCTGTGGCCGACCTGCGCCGGGCGGAAGTCCTGCTGGACTGCCTCCTGGTAGGGAAGTCTCTCCGGTGTTAGGAAGCTTGAAAGCGCGGCCACGGGGCAGCTGGCCCCAAAAAGCCTGCGTGGGACCGACAGGTGGGCGCGTGCTGGAGGCCGCTCTGTTTCCGACCGGGGGCCAGCTAGCCGGTGGGGCCTCGCTTGCCCTGGATCCTCCACCAAGAGGGCTGCCTGGCCGCGCCACGGCACATTCCACTCCCTACCCCCTCCTCCCTGGCTCGTCTTGTCTGCGGCAGGCACTTCGTCCCCCGGCCCGGGTGGCTGCAGTTTGGGTTTCCCCCCGGAAGTAAAGGCTGAGGCGCACGGATGCCGTCGGCCGGCTGCCGGGACCTGGGACCACACCTGCCGCGGAGGTTACAGTCGGTAAAGTAGAGCGGCGACACGAACTTCTCTACCCGCTCCAGAGTGGTGCGCCAGTGCTTCAGAGCCGGTGCCGCTGCCATCACGATCGCTGAGTTCTCGCTCCTCTTTCCGGAAGGCCCCTGGCGCTGTTTCGCTCCACGGCAGGAAACCAAAGGTTCCGGCGTCCAGAGGGCGCCTTCCAGTCCCGGGCAGCTTTTCGTGGAACACCAGTGGCTCTCGGAAGCCCAGGTGCCGTCTGAACCTTGAGGCGAGTTGGAAGCTATAAACTGCACTTTCGAGGCTCTCCTATGCTGTCCGAGCTAGTGGGCCGCAAGGGCAAATCTCAAAATAAAATGGGAAATCCATTATTAGAACTCTCAAAGGTGTCGGGACAGAGACTTAGGCCCTTCGGCAGGAAGGGCAGGAGCCTCAGCTGCTGCAGACCCAGCCTCAGAAGCAGCAACCGGGAGACCTCTGCTTCTAGCTGTCGGTTAACACGGAAACTGGTTTGCTTCACGTGGAGAGCCAGACTGCCTAGAATGGGTGTTTTTATACCGGACGGAGGTCAGGGTGTTAACAGGAAGGTAGAGCTTTATGCCCAAGTGACCACGACTTCTAGGATCACATGCTTTACTGAATGTATATCAGTATACATTGCACATCACCAGAAACTCGGAAACGAGTTTGAGATGTCAAAACAGTCATGGGATTGCTGATCACGACAGAAAAATGTATTTCACCATACAGGACTGTAGAGTCCAGGGAAGCTATAATAGCAGAAACAGACCTCCAGTTTCATTCTCATCCCTAGTACTCTACTGCAGCTTTATTTTTTTTTTTCTACCGGGGTTGCCAAGAGAGTCTTTGTCTATTAAATCATTAGGAAGAAAAAAAAATACACAAGATTAGCCCTGATATTTTAATGGAAATACTGACCAAGTTTACAACATTTCAAATGCAAATCACACGGAAAGGTGACTTAAGTACAGAATATCAAATGTAATTTAAAATAAAGATAACCTTCTGCTGCATATAATACAGATTGGGTTTAGAGCTTGGAGCTCAGATGTCAGACAGCAGGAGGAATAAAAATTAAAAATGCTGCTTCTGAAAACTCAGGCTGTACTAATTAAAACTTCCTCTTCTGTTGGCTGCACTGGCGGGTTGGGACTTTCTTTTGAACTGGCCTTGAATTCCTATCCTGACCTGCAGACAGGTGTCACTGCCCCAGGTTTGCCCTAAACTCTCCTCCCACAAAGCTCTTTTTGGCACCTTACGCTTTGGCTCACAGTCTCCTCTCCCCGATACAAAACAAAAGCCTAAAATCAGGCTAGGTCTGGTGGCTCACGCCTGTAATCCCAGCCCTTTGGGAGGCTGAGGTGGCAGGATGGCTTGAGGCCAGGAGTTTGAGACCAGCCTGGGCAGCATAGCAAGACCTTGTCTCTACAAAAAGTGAAAAAATTGGCCGGGCATGGTGGCATGCAGCTACTCAAGAGGCTGAGGTGGGAGGATTTGCTTGAGCCTGGGAGGTCAAGCCCGCAGTGAGCTATGATTGTGCCACTGCATTCCAGTATGAGTGATAAAGTAAGACTTTGTCTTTAAACAATAATAAAAGCCTAAAATCAGAGGTCTACCATGTGTTTTGAAAATCCAGGAGCCAAAAAATAATGTTTTTCTTTTTGGTGGCAGGTTGGAGATTTTTAACTAAAAAGTAAACATAAAACACCCAAAACATTGCTGGTTACAACTAAGACTTGCATAATGGTTGCTGAAGAAAAATCGACCAGAGTACTGGGAGGGGCTTAGTTGGTCTTTGTTCACAAAGTCCAGTTTAACCACATAGAAAAATCCTAATCATTCATGTTTAAATGTCTGCTAGTTTAAATTTATGTCATTAAAAAAATAGGTATCCCATTTCAAATTCTCTCCCTCCCAACCCCATTTATAAGGTATACCACATGCTTTATACACTTTTTCAAATACTGGTTTGGTATTTAAGTTGCTCGCCCCCATCCATCACCAATGTAAGAAAAAATATATAGAAATACAAACTACACAGCTTGACAACTTACCCAATATAAAATATTTTCAGATAGTTGAACAAAGGAAAAAAAAATACACTAAAAGACTGAAATATTCTAAGATTTTGGAATATTTTGATTTGGGACAAGTGCAAGTAACAAGTATTTAAAGCAAATCCTGTTTGTACCCTGGATAAGGACTGAAGCCAAAATCCCTGCTTCACAATATTTTCTAGTGAGGACAAGGGACATGGGTTGAGAGTTTATTCCTTAAGTAAGAACCAAGCTTTATTTATTTACAAAAAAAAAAAAAAAAAAAAAAAAAAAAAAGTCCGGGGCAAAGGGGAAGACAAGTTTTACACAAAAGTACTACAATGGTAACTCCCTTTGGTAAAAAGTGTAATAAATGTCTTGTACATCTGTTCATAGGTACTAAATCTGAAGCCACATAGTACTATAGTACACAAGAAGCTAGAGCAGTTATGCTAGCACATCAAAGCATATTTCTTTTAATAAAAAATTGACAGTATGTACATTATGTACAAAAAAACAAGTTAAAATTGTGTGTGTGTGTGTGTGTGTGTGTGCGTGTGTGTGTCTCAGAGAGTAAAGCTGGTGGATGGCACTAGGGCAGACTAGTAAAGAGGCAGATACAAAACAGTTCCACGGGAGCTAAAAAGGACGACTGATTTGAACTTGTTGAGGCTGAGAACCAGAGGAGAGAAAAGGGTAGGCAGCAAGGGATTCGTCAGGAATAAAATCCACAAGATGATCTATCCCAAAGCCAAACTGCAGGTCCCAGATAAAACCTAATGGGTGATCTTAGATGTGCTCAGGTGACCAGGAAAAAAAAAAAAAAAAAAATCAAATCCAGTTTTTTTTTCCTTTTGTGGGGAGGGGAGAGGAGCAGTGACCATCATAGTTCCAATCCATCTGAGTATTAAATCGTTCCCCAGTCTGTTTTGTAAATGCATCTCCAAACAGTCAAAGTGTGAATAGCATCCGGTTCCCTCATTGAAAGTTAGGCCACAGGTGACTCCAGTCTTAGCTCTGCTGGTGTATGCAAGCAAACAGCATGTTTTTGCTTGCATGGACTTCCTTCCCCTCCAAGGCAGGCTATACCAAAAACCCTTTGGGAAAAGTTCCAGCTTCAGCTTTGTAAGGTATTCATGTTCCTAAAGTAGCCCACTTGGCGCCAGGCTGCACCAGCCACACACAGGTCACGTGGCCATGTCCCAGAGAGGCCCAGTGAGGCTTGAAAGGCATCTTCCTTGTTTCTTCAGTGTGTGAGTGCATAGGCAGGCCCACACACACACACACACACACCCCCCAAGTTATCTGCTCTGGCTCTGCAGTTAAGGGGCTTTGAATACTGTGCCGTATTTGACACGATACTTGTTAATGCTCACAAAATGCAGGGTCTCTGTATCACAGGTGGTGGTACAGGGCACCAGGCCCTCCAGCCCCTCACCCATGAGCCACTTGCTGGTTTCCGCTGCCATTTCACGGGGCACATGCTCCTTGGTCCATTTATCTACCCAGGCCTGGAATCTCTGATGTAGACGCTTGCTTACACGCTCATGGGACTGCAAAACCGGAAAAAAAAAAAAATTTTTTTTTAATTAAATGAAGCAGAACCAAAAAAGAACCCTTCAAATACAAAGCCCAATTTTCTTCTAAAGGGACAGAGGAAAGGTGTGGGCTTCAGTCTTAGATACTATTGTTTTTTCCTTTGGGGAAAAAAAAAAAAAAGATTCTTGGCTGGGCATGGTGGCTCACGCCTATAATCCCAGCTCTTTGGGAGGCAGAGATGGGCAGATCACCTGAAGTCAGGAGTTTGAGACCAGCCTGGCCAACATGGTGAAACCTTGTCTCTACCAAAAACACAAAAATTAGCTGGGTGTAGGGGCAGGCACCTGTAATCCCAGTTACTCAGGAGCCTGAGGCAGGAGAATCGATTGAACCCAGGAGGGTGGAGGTAGCAGTGAGTCAAGATCGCACTGCTACACTCTAGCCTGGGTGACAAAAGTAAAACTCTGTCTCCAAGGAAAAAAACAATTCTCTGTTTAAAGAAAAGTTAAAGAGGTAAGAACATAAAACATGTATGGACATGAAAATCCATAAAGCCTCCAAAGAAATGTGAACACAGTTTTTGGGCTGAAAAAGCTCACTGTTCTCAATTTTAGCATGCATTAGTATAACCTAGGGAATGCATTAAAAATACACATTTCTAACCAGGCACAGTGATTCACGCCTGTAATCCTAGTACTCTGGGAGGCCAAGGCAGGCAGTTCACTTTAGTTCGAGACCAGCCTGAGCAATATGGCAAAACCCCATCTCCATAAAAATACAAAATTTAACTGGGCATGGTGGCACACACCTGTAGTCCCAGCTACTAGGGAGGATGAAGTAGGAGGATCGCTTGAGCCGGGAAGTGGAGGGTGCAGTCAGCCAAGATCGCACCACTGCACTCCAGCCTGGATGACAGAGCCAAACCCTGTCTCAAAAAAGACAAAAAACAAAAAACCCCCACATTTCCTTGGTTTTACCAATCTGCATTTTAAACCAGCAACCAGCTGATTCTAATGTATCCTGAGTGGGACCCAATGAACCGTGATCACTTCTATCAACATGGAGATCCACTTCTAAGCCAGACAGTGCAAAGCAAAGGGCTTAAAACCCACTCTCCCTTCACTATGTTACCCTGCTTTGGCAAGCAGAGTCCACGGCAGATCTTCTGTTGGGGGGCTTCTGTTCCCACCAATGCACCCAGTAAAAATTTATTGGTGCCCACATGCAAGGATATTAGAAGAGATACAAAGACAAAACTGGTGCTGCCCAGTGTCCCAAATCATTTCAATCAGAGATAGGTAGACACACAACACACAGTAAAGAAAATTAGCCAGGTGTGGTAATGCACGTGTGCCACGTACTTGGGAGGCTGTGGCAGGAGAATGACTTGAACTAGGGAGGCAGAGGATGCAGTGAGCTGAGATCACATCACTACACTCCAGCCTGGGCGACAAGAGTGAAACTCTGTCTCAAAAATAACTAAATAAACAAAATCTACAATGTAAGTCTTGCAATTCCACTGCCACCCTAGTAGTCTGGGTGGTCCCCACATCTCATTTGGACCAGGGCACCCTTTTGAGTGGTCTCTGCTCTTCCAACTTGATGCATATCCACCTCCACTCTCCTCACAGCAGTCCAAGCTATCTTTGTCAAATGTCCCAATGCACCTCAATCAAAATCCAAACCATGGCCTATTAGACAAAGCTATGTGGCCTCTGCCTACCCTTCTAACTTCATGCAACCATGAGCCACAATGGTGTTTGTAATTTCTCAGACATCCCAAGTCCTTTCCTCCCTCTCAGTCTTGTACTTGCTGTTTTCTTTGTTTAGAAAACACTCGTCCTCAACTCTTCACCAGGCTAATTCCTTGTCATTTATTCAGGCCTCAAGCATCACCTCCTTTGAGAAGACACCTCCAGTGAAAGCAAGGCCTGTATGCCAGTTACCCCTTGATTACTTCACCTGATTTGTTTCTCTGGTAGTGCATATCATCACTTTAACTTATCTGCTCTACTTCATGGCTGTAGTCTCAGGGCCTGGCATAACACCCTGTACATAGCTGTACCAGGAAGGTTTCAAAATTGAGACAGAATGTAAAAACAGGTAGGACTCATACAATCAAAAGATAAGATACTACTTGAGATGTAAATACCAGGAGTAACTTGACTAAAAAGGTGCCACCAGGTATTTACCTGCTCTTATGGGCTGAACTGTATTCTCCCTAAAAATTCTATGTTGGCTGGGGACAGTGACTCATGCCTGTAATCCTAGTACTTTGGGAGGCTGAGTCAGGTGAGACTGTCTCAAAATAATAACAACAATCATATATTCAAGTCCTAGCCCCCAGTATTTCTGAATGTGACCTTATCTGGAGGCAGACACACACACACAGATGTAGAAACACCGTATGAAGATGAAGGCAGGGATCTACAAGTCCAGAAATGCCAAAGATTGCCAGCAAAGAACCAGAAGCTAAGAGAGGTCTGGAACAGATTCTCCCTCACAGTCCTCAAAAGGAACCAACACTGCTGGCACCTGACTTTGGACTTCTAGTTTCCAGAACTTTTGTCATCTAAGCCATACAGTCTGTGGTACTTTGTTACAGCATCCTTAGAAAACCAATATACCTACTTCCTCAGTTAATCTCAGCTTTAAGAACAGGTTTCCATAAACAAAGAGAAACAATCAGAAGACTCTGGGCTTCCCCTGGTCCTGGCTGGGGTGGGAGATGTGCACAGCAATTTCAGTTACTGTTTCTCACCTGATGAGCCCGGAGCAGGGCGGTCCTCCGATACATATAGTCCTCTGACTTGATCACGTATACCATCTTGTAGGAATTCAGCTTGAATCTACACTCCAGCTTATCCAGACTATCCACATTCTCCATGGTCTTCTTACTGTTTCCTTCCTTCCCTTCCTTTTCCTGCTGCTCTCGACCACGCTGACACTTCCGGATCCGCCGCAGATTCCTATGGCAGAAAAGCCCTGGAGGATGAGAGCCCATCCAGAAGCAGATTCCCATGACTTCCCCCAAGTGAGTTTTATTGTATGTTTGCATAGTACTCATCCCAATTTGTTAAAAACATACAAAAATGTTCAATTGTTTCACTGAAAAAAAAAAAATTCAACTGCAAAGGTACACAGAATAAAAAGTAGAAATCTTTGCTCATCCCCTACTTTAGCAGATGCAGCCAGTTAAGAGTTTTAATTAGAAACTTCTAGGCCTCTGTCTGTAAATTTACACATGTAATTACCAGCTATAATTCTGCTTTGGGATTTGTTTTTAAGACAAAATGGGATCATACTATGTATTTGTCCTCAACTTTTCACTTACTGTCAAGAATAATTTTTCATTTTATGACATAGATTAGTCTCATCCTCTTTAACTGCTGCAGAAGAATGTACCCGAATTCACCATTCCTTAACAGCTTCTTTCAATTAAGATTCCTCATCTGAACCACATAACAAAAAATAATTTGAATGCCTATTTTTAAAAATTTCCCCAGATGATATAAACTAGTGCCACGCTACATACCCAACAAATAAGATAATTCACATGATTAGATGCCCTGGGGGGTGAGAGGCTTGCTAAATCTCTTTAACATCCAGTGAAGAAAGGTTATCAGCTTGACAATTATATAATTTCTCATAACTTGCTATTAAAAACACTGCTTCAGGTTGGCCACTGTGGCTCATGCCCATAATCCCAGCACTTTGGGAGGCAGGCAGATTGCTTGTGCTCTGGAGTTTGAGACTAGCTTGGGCAACACGGCAAAACCCCTTCTCTACAAAAAAAATTAAAAAAAATTAGGCAGGTATGGTGACGAACGCCTATAGTCTCAGCTACTTGAGAGGCTGAGGTAGGAGGATCGCTTGAGCCCTGAAGGCAGAGGTTGCAGTGAGCCAGGATCCCGTCCTGTACTCTAGCCTGGGAGACAGAGCCAGACTCTGTTTCAAAAAAATCCCAAAATTTGCTTCAGTGAGTATCTTCGTATATATATGTATTTCTGTAGACAGCAATTCTTTGTCCAAGGACCCCAGGGACCAAAAGGGTCCCAAGACCCTTTCAGGAGATCTGTGAGGTTAAAACTATTTTCATAATAATACTAAAACATTATTTTCCTTTCTTGCTGGGTTGACATCTGCACTGGCAGCATAAAAGTAATGGTGAATAAAAATGCTGGTGGTGCCTGTATTGTTTGGGAACAAATTGTTACCAAATTCCAATATCAATTTATACATTACTGAGCTTTTCATACAGTTGTCAAACTCCATTTGTTTATTTTGTACCATGAATAAAACCTCCACGATTTTGTAACTTAATGCAATTACGATTCAAGTCTTTGCATTTTACACTGACCACAGAATGACGTTAAGTAAAAAAGCCAGTTTCACTTAAGAATGTTTCTGATGGGCTGGCCACGGTGGCTCACCCCTGTAATCCCAGCACTTTGGGAGGCCAAAGAGGGCAATCACTTGAGGTCAGGAGTTCGAGACCAGCCTGGCCAACATGGGGAGACCCCGTCTGTACTAAAAATACAAAAATTAGCTGGGTGTGGTGGCATGCACCTGTAATCCCAGCTACTTGGAAGGCTGAGGCAGGAGAATGACTTGAACTCAGGAGGTGGAAGTTGCGGTGAGCTGAGATGCACCACTGCACTCCAGCCTGGGCGACAGAGTGAGACTCTGCTTGAAAAAAAAAAAGAGAAGGAATGCTTCTAATGAAGCAGTAAGATTTGTTATTAAATCCCACCCCTCGGTTTACATCTTTTTAACATGCCAGTGTGATAAAATGGGAACTACACATAAAGCACCTTTGTGTGCTAAAGTACAATGGTATTCTTAGAGAAAAGCACTGGAGCAATTGCTTGAGTTAAAGTGGATCACCATTTTTACCTGAAAGAACAACTGATTAAATGCAGGCAACTCAGCCAAGTATTTGGGGGGTGTTTTCTCAAATATGAACAAGGGAGCCAATAACTTCAAGGAAAATAATGTTTTCAATGATAAGACTGGAATTTTCAAGCAACACTATGAATTTCGGTGAACTGGTATCAGCCACCACCCTGAGCTTGACATCTTCCCAGTACTTAAGATGTCTGATGACTTGGAGATAGCGATATTAATCAATGTGTTTTTTTTTGGAGACACTGTAAAATATATCAACATTTAGTAGGTCTGTACAACTTAGTGAGCTAATATTTTCCAAACAGCCAACTGCATAAAGTTACAAAATCATAGAGGAAAAAAAGGATTCTTTCATGGTACAAAATCAATCAATGGATTTTGACAACTGTATGAAAAGCCCACTTATGTATAAATTGATATTGCAACTAACCGTTAAGAAGCTATCACTAGTAGTTTTGTTGTCATATGAAAGAATATCCAGTTATCTGAAAGGATCTGAAAATACTTCTCCTTTTTCCAGCTACACATTTGTGTGAGGCCAGATTTTCTTCACATATTTCAACCAAACAACATGATGTAACAGACTGAATGTAGAAGCAGACACGAGAATCCAGCTGTTCTTCTAGTAAGCCAGACACTAGTTTATAAAATATAAACAATGCCATTCTATTCTTAAAAAATATTATTTAAGAAAATACAATGGGCTTAATATTGTTATTTTATTTATTTATTTTGTTTTTCAGACAGTTTCCCTCTGTCGCCCAGGCTGGAGTGCTGTGGCGCAATCTCGGCTCACTGCAACCTCTGCCTCCCAGTTCAAGCGATTCTCCTGCCTCATTCTGCTGAGTAGCTGGGACTATAGGCGTGCACCACCAGGCCTGGCTAATTTTTTGCGTTTTTAGTAGAGATGGGGTTTCACTGTGTTAGCCAGGATGGTCTCGACCTCCTGACCTCGTGATCCGCTGCTTTGGCCACCCAAAGTGCTGTGACTACAGCCATGAGCCCCTGCTCATGGCCAAATATTGTTATTTTTTTTTTTTTTTTGAGACGGAGTTTCGCTCTTGTTACCCAGGCTGGAGTGCAATGGCGCGATCTCGGCTCACCGCAACCTCCGCCTCCTGGGTTCAGGCAGTTCTCCTGCCTCAGCCTCCTGAGCAGCTGGGACTACAGGCACGCGCCACCATGCCCAGCTAATGTTTTGTAGTTTTAGTAGAGACGGGGTTTCACCATGTTGACCAGGATGGTCTCGATCTCTTGACCTCGTGATCCACCCGCCTTGGCCTCCCAAAGTGCTGGGATTACAGGCTTGAGCCACCGCACCCGGCCAAATATTGTTATTTTTAAAATGAATTACAGATTTAAAACATATCATTGTTTCAGTGTTTGTTTCTATCTTGGTAAATATTGTATTATATTTGGTAAATATTATATATGATCCATATAAACAAAAGCTCTTTGGAGTACTCATGCTCTAAGAGTGTAAAGGGTCTCAAGGCCAATAAAATGAGCCCCTTAGCTGTCAGACAAAACATGAGAAACTGAAATTCTAGAGGGAAGGTTTCGTACATTTCAACTACCCTGCCATCAGAACGATTTTATCAATTTGTTTTTTCTCACATGACATAAATGTGCCTCCTTCCTCATATCCTGGTGAGAGATATAGGATGACAGGTTTATTGTAGTATGTCATTAGCATGGAGCCTGTTTTGTTGAGAGGAACCTGACAAAGCAACTGCTCAAATGATTCAATGAATGGAGAACCTGGCAGGGCCTTTTTTGTTGGTACCCTTTTCCCATGCTCTCTTTAGGACTTAAGTCTAATAACACTGATATGATACTTTCTTGAAAACCTAAGACATAAGATTTCAATTAAAAACTTTTGCCGGGCGCGGTGGCTCAAGCCTGTAATCCCAGCACTTTGGGAGGCCGAGGCGGGTGGATCACGAGGTCAAGAGATCGAGACCATCCTGGTCAACATGGTGAAACCCCGTCTCTACTAAAAATACAAAAAATTAGCTGGGCATGGTGGCACGTGCCTGTAATCCCAGCTACTCAGGAGGCTGAGGCAGGAGAATTGCCTGAACCCAGGAGGTGGAGGTTGCGGTGAGCCGAGATCGCGCCATTGCACTCCAGCCTGGGTAACAAGAGTGAAACTCCGTCTCAAAAAAAAAAAAAAAAAAAAAAAAACTTTTAAGAAGGATAAAAGCCATTCTACCTATTTTATATTTCTTAAACTCTGTTTTCATATACTTGGAGGATCAGTATCATAATCTGCCTATATAGAGAGGGAACATTTTAAAACTTCTGTGCAGAAAAGAGTTAATATAGCAGGCCTAAGACTGCTACTCTTTGAAAAGCCTGTATATAAAAGTTGGCCCTTGCCTAGTGGCTAGGATCTTGGATTTGGGGCAATGTTCTACCATTTCCTAACTCATGTAAGCATCTTAATGTACCTAAACTATGTGTACAAACTATATAGCTTATGCTGACAACCTGCTTTCTTTCTGAGAGTGAAGCTTTGGTAAGGAGGTTACTGTTGATTCCCTACAACTCTCACCTCCCAGCTCTGACACATGCTCCAAGTAAGCCTATGTTGTGACAGCCACATAAACCTTGACTTAGCATCCTAGGCAGATAAAACAAATGAATAAAACATGAAAAACAATAAAGTGAAAGTCATTTAACTTTCTATTTCTCAACCATATGTAAGTACAGACTGAGGTGACAAGGCTCACTCACCTCGGAAGAAATACTGGTTTCTGTGCTAGATGTTCGCGAAGCTCAGGCGAGGTAGTATCAGAATTCATATATCGCTCCACATAGTCTGACCAGCGCTAAGATGGCAAACACAAAATAAGGAAATCACAAAAACAGCTCCTAACACATCAGGTACTCTAGTAAATTCTATGACTTCAGTACAAATTTATAAATTTAAAGATTAAAAAAAAGTCCCTTTCTATAATGACATGATTGTTACTAAGTACTGAAACACAGATTAAAAATTCTGTTAGCCAGCAATACTGCTAAGTTTCTCTGAGATGCTAAGGTTATCAGAAGTTGTAAACAGGTAGAAGCTGGCTCACTGCCAAGTTTCATTTCCCCACAGAGGATTTTGTTAAACAACAAAATTTATATTATAGTGGCAAATGTCTCAAAGTATCCCTTACATTACAATCTAGATTTCTGACATCTCATTTAAAAAAAAAAAAAAAAGAAAAGATCTGACGATAAGCCAATGTTCCCACCAAACAAGTCATCCCACATGTCCCCCACATCATCATACAAATGGCCTGGCTCTGCCATTTACATTATCTGCCAGAACCAACTATGATAATCACATCTGTGTACTCAGAGGTTGAGAACTCTGGGCTTTATTGGTCCAATAAAAAGTAAACATGACCCAAAGAATCAAGATGACATGAAAAAGATGGTACCTCATTTGTTGGTTTTTATACTTTAGGAAAAAAACAGGAAAGCTGCCAACCATAAGACTTCCTTAGAGGAGATAGCTTTACTAAGTGCAAGATGAGGTTAACATCTCTAACCAGGCAGCCCTTCTCTTCAGCTGAAGACATGGCTGGATTGACTCGTACTTTAAGCATCCAGGTCATCCATGCATCACTTGGTGCAGTGAAGCACTGACTTGTACTTTAAGCATCCACGCATCCAAGGCACCCTTCAACAGGCCTAAGGTGCCTTGGTCTTTTGGCAGACAGGGTCACTGGACAGAATCTCAGGACACGCCAGCTCTGCTTGGCACTGGGCTCTGTGATGTACTTGCTCATACCTCTGCTTCCACAGGGTCATCTGAATTCTCCTCTTCTGTGTCCAGAAGCTCAATAGTCAGCTGGACCTGCCCTTGGCTTTGAATAAACATAAGCTGCAAATAAGAAACCTAAGCGTAAACAAAAGAGCATCTCTACAGCAATAATACGTCTTCTCAAAGAACAGGAGGTAGAGAGGCAATAAACTTAGTAAACTTTGCTCCAACTGAAGAAATTAGGAAGACATTTAATCTTGGGAGGCCAGTGATAAAGGTAAGTCTGCACTTGCTACAAGTAAAATGAAATATAAGCATTTCACGTTTCAAACTTCTAGAATTCGCTAAAATAATAATCAATGCCAATAAGAATGTTTTACAAAACAAATATTTTGCTTGTCAGAAAGAAATATGGCACATGTAGCCAGAACCACAATGTCAATGCTCTGTCCACTGATAATCCCACTTCTAGGATGTAATACAAAGATGGAAATGAGTTTACAGTGTTTAAAAAATAAAGGGGCTGGGCACAGTGGCTCACACCTGTAATCCCAGCACTTTGGGAGGCCAAGGTGGGTGATCACCTGAGGTCAAGAGTTGGAGACCACCCTGGCTACCATGGTGAAATTCCGTCTCTACTAAAAAAATACAAAAATTAGCTAGGCTTGGTGGTGCATGCCTATAGTTCCAGCTACTCAGGAGGCTGAGGCAGGAGAATCCCTTGAACATGGGAGGCAGAGGTTGAAGTGACCTGAGCTCGAGCCATTAGACTCCAGCCTGGGCAACAAGAGCTAAACTCCATCTCAAAAAAAAACGTCAACATTGAGGGTTAGGTACCGTAGCTCATGCCTATAATCCCAGCACTTTGGGAGGCCAAGGTGGGCAGATCATGAGGTCAAGAGTTCAAGACCAGCCTGGTGAAACCAACATGATGAAACCCCATTTCTACTAAGAATACAAAAATTAGCTAGGTGTGGCGGTGCGTGTCGGTAGTCCCAGCTACTCAGGAGGTTGAGGCAGAACTGCTTGAACCCAGGAGGCTGAGGGTGCAGTGAGCTGAGACTGCGCCACTGTACTCCACCCTGGCAACAGAGCGTGACTCCATCTCAAAAAAAAAAAATAAATAAAAATAAAAAATAAAACACAACAAAAACCAATAACTGCATTAATACTACAATAAATGGCTGGGTTTGGTGGCTCATGCCTGTAATCCTAGTACTTTGGGAGGCCGAGGTGGGTGGATTGCCTGAGCTCAGGAATTCAAGACCAGCCTAAACAACGTGACAAAACCTCGTCTCTATTAAAAATACAGAAAATTAGCTGGGCGTGGTGGTGTGCGCCTGTAATCCCAGCTACCCAGGACACTGAGGCAGGAGAATTGCATGAAACTGGGAAGCAGAAGTTGCAATGACCTGAGATCCCGCCACTGCGCTCCAATCTGGGCAATAAAGTGCCACGATGTTTAAAAAAGAAGGAGAAGAAAAAAAAAAGGCTTCATATGCCTTAGAATAAGGAACAACAACAACAAAAAAAAGGTATTAACAACCAGGTGTGATGGCTCATGACTGAAACCCCAGCACTTTGAGGAGGCTAAGACAGGTAGATCACTTCATTCCAGGAGTTTGAGACCAGCCTGGGGGCAACATGGCAAAACCCCATCTCTACTAAAAATACACAAATTAGCCAGGTGTGGTGGCTCACACCTGTGGTCCTAGCTACTTGGGAGGCTGAAGGGGGGGAACTGCTAGAGCCCAGGAGGCAGAGGGTGCAGTGAGCCATTTTGTCACCACTGCACTCCAGCCTGGGCAACAGAGTGAGACCCTGTCTCAAAAAAAGAACAAAACAAAAAAGTTTTGTTATAAATGGCACCAATTTATATGAAGTTTTGAAATTCTGAGTTCTACAAATATTATTTGTGTGATTAAAAAAATCCATACTTAAAAGCAACACACCAATAGAGGCAAGCAAACCATGTTTTGCACAAAACAACGCTCAATGGTGATGGCACATGGATCTCTCCTTTCAGAACCCTGAGATTCTCAGTGCCCTTATCCTAAGGGCTTTCTGCAGACAAGGTAGCTATCAGAATCACATGGAGAAGATCAGAGCCTGAAACTTGAGAACTTTTTATTTCAACCTCCTTCATTTGATACAGGAGAAAACTGAAGTTCAGAGTTCTGGTTTCTCAAGGCACACCACCAGTCAAGAAATACACAGAGCCAGAAGCTAGATCTAGCTCAGTGTCTGTTCAAGTTTTAAAAATTCCAACTGGCTGGGTGCAGCGGCTCACGCCTGTAATCCCAGCACTCTGGGAGGCTAAGGCGGGCAGATCACCTGAGTTCGAGAGTTCGAGACCAACCTGACCAACATGGAGAAACCCCATCTTTACTAAAAATACAGTAATAGCTCGACATGGTGGCACACGCCTGTAATCCCAGCTACTCAGGAGGCCGAGGCAGGAGAATTGCTTGAACCTGGGAGGCGGAGGTTGCGGTGAGCTGAGATCATGCCATCACACTCCAGCCTGGGTAATAAGAGTGAAACTCCATCTCAAAAAAAAAAAAAAAATTCCTCTCTGCTAGTAAAGCTATAATCTGACAACATAATATATACACAAACGCACAGTTATTTCCAAAACAGATTTTTTTTGGGGGGGCAGACTGAATTTTTACAAGTTATAATTTATTTTTAAGAACTGCAAAATATTTCTTCAGTATTCATAACAGCATGTTATGAACCAATCCCCATAGTGAGTTGGAAATCTAGGTTGTTTCCAACTATTTGCTTTTATAATTATCCAGTATAATGGTGAAAAACTGGAAATAACCTAAATGTCCAACAATACAAGCATTAATTCTCTATAAAGTGAGTATCAAATAGCCATAAAAAAGACATTAAAGATCCAGAAGTGTTGCTAATTGAGCAAAAATATGTTAAAGACTATTTCAGGTCAAATGCAGTGGCTCACACATGTAATCCCAGCACTTTGGGAGGCTGAGGTGGGCAAATCACTTGAGGCCAAGAGTTTGAGACCAGCCTGGCCAACATGGTAAAACCACATCCCTACTAAAAATATAGAACTTAGCTGGGCATGGTGGTAAATGACTGTAATCCCAGCTACTAGGGTGGCTGATGGATGAGAATCACTTGAACTCAGGAGGCAGAGGTTGCAATGAGTCAAGATCTCACCACTGCACTCCAGCCTGGGCAACAGACTGTGACCCTGTCTTAAAAAAACAAAAAATAAAAAGTTAAAGACCATTTATATACTAAAGTATAGAGAAGTTTAGAAATGTCATCAACGATAATTTTAGGATAGAATTCTAACGTGACTTTTTTTTTTCCATTTCATTTTTTTGGGACAGAGCAGGCTGGGGTGCAGTGATGCGATCAGAGCTCACTACAGCCTCAACCTCCCAGGCTCAAATGATCCTTCTACCTTATTTTCCTGAGTAGCTGAGACTACAGGTGCACACTACCATGCCTGGCTAATCTTTGTATTCTTGTATTTTTTGCATAGATAGGGTTTTGCCATGTTGCCCAAGCTGGTCTCAAGTGATCCACCCACCTCAGCCTCCCGGAATGCTGGGATTGCAAGTATCAGCCACGTGTGCAGGGTCCATGTTTTCTTTTCTGTAACGACCATAATCATGGATTTCATGTACCAACATTTTTCTAACAATAATACTTACAAAGCATACTCTGAAAAATATCCAGAGAAAAAGAAGAATACAGAATTGTAAAAATCATGTGTAACTTTTCTTTTTTAAGGCAGGAAAGAAACAAAGTAGATTGTCTAGGAAGATAGCTATTTCCACTCTGTATTTCTCTGATGAATTCATTAGGAACTCTAAAAAGTTCCAAGAGTAGAATCATGGGTCAAAGTACCCTGGCTTTAACTTCTGGTTCAGAAAATCCTAACAACTTACATTGTCACAAGCAAGGTCTTTGACTACATGAGCATCTCTCACCTTAAAGCAATTCTCATCTGACATTAGCTGCTCGGCTTTCCGCTGATATGTTGACTCCAGGAGGCTCCTTGAGTTCTGTGTGTTCAGCTGGCCTCCAGTGGCCCCATTATTATTTTCTGCCAGGTAAAGGTCAGTCACCTGTACACAGATCTCATCACTCACAATATGCTGCAGCTGGAATCAAACAAAGGCAAGCTGTTAGTGAACAGAGAAAACATTTCTCCATTATACAATCAACATTCCTTTAACTGATCCTGTCACTCAACTCAAAAAAAGGTTTTTTTGGCTAGGCACAGTGGCTCACGCCCATAATCCCAGCTCTTTGGGATGCCAAGGCAGGCAGAACACAAGGTCAAGAGATGGAGACCACCTAGGCCAACATGGTGAAACCTCGTCTCTTTAAAATATAAAAATTGGCTGGGTGTGGTGGCATGTGCCTGCAGTCAGTCCCAGCTACTCAGGAGGCTGAGGCAAGAGAATCATTTGAAACCGGGAGGTAGAGGTTGCAGTGAGCCAAGATCATGCCATTGCACTCCAATCTGGCAAAAGTAAGAGTCAGTCTAAATTAATCTCACAAAAAAAAAAAAAAAAAAAAAAAAAAAAAAGAAAAAATAAATTCAAAAAAAAAAAAAAAAAAAAAAAAAAGAAAAAAGAAAAAATTAATCTCAGAAACCACTGTTATCATTTTCTTGGAAAATAATCAAGCCAAGATTTTCAACCATATAGTGGTTCATGGTAAAACTTTCATATCTATTTAAAATAAAAACCAGAGAGCTCAGGTTAATTGTACTATTTATTTGAAATTCTAAGAATCTTTAAATAATTTTCTACAGGTCATATTTTTGTTGCATTTTAAAATCATTTACAATTTGCTTTCATACATATTCTTTCTCATTTGATCCTCACAACTGCCCTGGGAAGCAGGCTGGAGGGAGAGTTGGGGCCTGTTAGGAAACAAATTTACACAATGCATAAAGAAAGATGGCTGGGCACACGGTGGCTCACACCTGTAATCCCAGCACTTTGGAAGGCCGAAGTGGGCAGATCACCTGAGGTCAGGAGTTTGAAACCAGCCTGGCCAACATGGCGAAACCCCATCTCTGCTAAAAATACACAAATTAGCTGGGTGTGGTGGCAGGTGCCTATAATCCCAGCTACTCCAGAGACTGGGGCAGGAGAATCGCTTGAACCTAGGAGGTGGAGGTTGCAGTGAGCTGAGATAGTGGCACTGCAAAGCTCATTGTGAGCTGGGGTGAGGAGGGGAGCCTTAGAGAATGATGAATGTAATATCTATGTCTATATTCCCAGCTCAACTACAAAGCCTGAAACTCATTAGGTAGTTGAGAAATAGCTGCTGAATTATTGCCTAGGGGTGCTCAGCTGAAGAAGCAGGGTTGGGACTAACAGTCAGGCTTCCTGACTCCGAGCCCAATACTTTTCCAAACACAGCATCTATTTTTCTCTGACAGAAAGTATAGTACGTAAGTTGTACATCATGCTAACTCATGTCAATCCAATCCAATCATGACTGAGTATCAGTAGCTTTTGTGACAATCTTAGTAAGCTATCTAATGACTAGAAAGTTGAACCTCAGAGTTCCCATTATTATGTCATATGCTATTTCTATTTTGAAATAAATATCCTCCCAAATGAAACTATACCCATCAAAATGACAGAAATGAAAAATAGATACAAGAAAGCAAAGGATTAATTTAGTATCTCTTTTACTTTAAAATGATCATAACCACCAAACCACTCTATTTTTAGAAAAATACATTCTTTCTGAAGTGTTAGGAACCATGATAACTATTGATGCTTAACTTTAAGTCCTAAATGACCAGTATGTGTATTAGATAACTGGACACAAAGCAAGGTCAGAAGGGTGACTGGGTATGGCAGAAAGGGCAGTACTCCAGCAACTGCGATGGATAAATGACAAAGAGTTCAGATAATGGATTCTGATACAACCATTAAAATAATGCTTATGAGTATTTGATAACATGAGGAAATGCTTAAGATATAGTTTTTTACAGAGAAAAAAAGGCAAAATAGGAAAAAGATATATGGAAAGTGTGACTTCAGCCAGACATGTAGATGCTTCCACTTTATGTTTTTTTGAGACAGGATCTCACTCTGTCACCCTGGCTGGAGTGCCAGGGTGCATTGTGATCTCGGCTCACTGCAGCCTCGACTTCCTGGGCTCAAGCAATCCTCCCACCTTAGCCTCCTGAGTAGCTGGAATTTCAGAAGAAATTCTGAATAGCTGTATTTTCAGAAGACACAGGGTTTTGCCATGTTGCCCAGTCTGGTCTTGAATTCCTGAGCTCAAATGATCCACCTGCCTTGGCCTCCCAAAGTGCTGGGATTACCGGTGTGAGCCACCACCTCTACTTTATATTTTCTTGTAGAAATAGACTGTATTACCGATTCCCCACCCACACCCACTTTTTGGATATCCTGCCCCTCCTCGAATCTTTGGAAAGGGCAGCACTACAAATCCAGGGACAACTGGGGAACTCCATCCCCACTACTAGGCAGATCAGATTCTCTATCCTCCTAATTGAAAATGACACAGAGTGTTGGATAGATTTTTAGCAGAGGAGCATCTGTATGGAAAGGTCCAGTAACACTGGGACCAGAGGTACTACCAGGGTTAAGTCAAAGCCTCGGAGGCTGGACAAGCCGGGAGCACATGCCAACGTCCAACAGCAGAGTGAAGCACAAACATGGAGCCGAAGTCCAGAGTGATGGCATGCAGGAGAGAAAAACAACCTCCCAGCACAGTCCTTCCATGGTGTGGTCATATTTTGAGTTCTGTACTTAGATGTCTGTGAGATTGCCTACTGTATTCTTAATATAAATCCCTCTTAACCAGCCTAGAATAGGTAAGATAAACGTACTGGCTTGACATGGCTGGAGTGCAGTGGCATGATTATAGCTCACTGCAGTCTCAACTTCCTTGGCTCAGGTGATCCTCCCACCTCAGCCTCCCGAGTAGCTGTACTAAAGGCATGAGTCACCATGCCCAGCTAACTTTTGTATTTTCAATACAAACTGGGTTTTGCCATGTTGCCCAGGCTGGTCTCGAACTCCTGGACTAAAGAAATCTGCCTGCCTTGGACTCCCAAAGGGCTGGAATTACAGGCATGAGCCACCATGCCCACCCTTGACTTTGAAATACATGTTGTACATCCAGTCAGCAGTGAACTCTGAGGGAACACCAAAGATGAGGAGGATGAGAGAAGAGATACCTCCAACTAAAGGAGTTAAGATGAGAAGCTTGAATGTATATTTTAAAAAGTCACTGTAGGCTGGGCACAGTGGCTCATGCCTATAATCACAGCGCTTTGGGAGGCTGAAGCGGGTGAACTGCTTGAGCCTATAAGTTTGAGGCCAGCCTGGGCAACATGGTTAAAACTCCATCTCTACAAAAAATACAATAAATTAGCTGGTGTGGTGGTGCCTTTGACCCCAGCTACTTGGGAGGCTAAGGTGGAAGGTCAAGGCTGCAGTGAGCTGAGATTATACCACTGTACTCCAGCCTGGGCAACAGAGACCCTGTGTTTAAAAAAAAAAAAAAAAAGTCACTGTTTGGGGTTTTTCTGGATGAAACCTCTGTTTCCATTAAAAAAAAAGGGGGAGGGGTTTGGAAACAGTATGTATTACTGATTCAAAATCATAACCAGATGCTTAAAGTAATTTTTATCTATTGTTTCAAAAACCAACCTCAGAATTATTAAAAGTTAGTTTTATTGGATTTTTTCTTAAGTTATGCTGGTGCTATGAAACACTTTGTTCCTAGCTGAAGCAGCAACAAACATGTCATCAGAAACATAAGCTCAGGGTAACTGGAGTCTGTCTTTTACATACATTTCAGGGAAGTTAACAAAGGTCAGTTTGAAACAGTATGACTATGGGTGACTATGTATCCATCTAATGATTTCTGCCAGTTACCAACCAGAACCCTGATGGGAAGGCCTAATAACTTCTTCAACTTACAGGAAACAACGATCTGACAACTTTCCCCCAGATGTTAAGGTTCAGTTATATGAAGGGCTCTTCCTCAATCCTGAGTACATAATGCGGGAGGAGTGCAGAGGCATGCACCATTCGAAAACCAAGGGAAAAGCATGGATACATTGCAAAGGATTCAATATTTTAGCCCAAGAGAACACTAAGCAACAAGCTCTTTCCTTCTACAGTGGCAGTGTGGACTCTAGAATTAGAATTTGCCTGTTACAAGTTTTCACTTAAGTAGTTCACTGCCTTTCTGCTGAGCTTTTCTATGGAAGACGGCTGTAGGTAGCCACAGTGCCCAGCTGGAATAGCATGATCCTAAAGCACTACTTTCACAAGGAATCACAGTGGCCCACGGCCACATGGCTCAACCAGCCAGCCCAGAAGATCTGCAGATGCAAGCAAAAGCACACTGCATTGCCCTGCGCCCGCATCTGGACCCATCTGGCCCATGGTAAGGTGCCCCACAGTGAGGTATCACACCAAGTACAAGCTGGCAGGGGCTTCAGCTTAGAAGAGTTAAGGGTGACCAGCAACCACAAGATGGTAGAATAAGTCCACCACGTCCCTGTAGGCCAATGTTCAGCAACTGAGGGAGTATGACTCCAAGCTCATCCTATTCCCCAAGAAGCCCTCAGCCCCCAAGAAGGGAGACAGGTCTCCTGAAAAACTCTCATCAGCCACCCAGCTGACAGGACCAATAATGCCCACACAGAATGCCTCCAGGAAGGAGAAAGCCGGAGTCATCCCTAAGAACTTTAAGGTATTTGCCAGTCTTCGCATGGCCTACAACAATGCCCAGCTCTTCAGCATATGGGCAAACACAGCCAAGGGAGCCACAGAACAGGATGTTGAAAAGGTAGAATGAAGCCCTGTTGGGGACTTGGAATAAATCAGCAGTAAAGCTGGGTCTCCAAAAAAAGAAAAAAGCAGTTAACCAACAATCTCTCTGGGAGTTCAGAACTCAAGTCCAAGAAGTAGAAACATGACTATCTGTTACAAGCTATTTGTTTATATCCTTATTGTAAAGAACAATATATTTACAAGTTCCCAGGGTGCCACAGAAAGGACACACAAAACCAATCACAAACCGGGCATGGTGGTTCAGAGGGAACCACAGATGAGTGAGGTGGCAGAGTATTCTAAAAGGTGTTACGTGAACCCCTTCTTATAAAAAGAATTTCAAATATTAAACCATGAAGTACATAAGAGTTACTAACACCTTGACTGGATGCAGTGGCTCATGTCTGTAATCCCAGCACTTTAGGAGGCCAAGACAGAAGAACAACTTGAGACCAGGAGTTCAAGACCGGCCTGGTCAACATAGTGACACCCTATTCTATTTGAAAAAAAAAAAAAAACTCACCAGGACCTATGGAACAGGCAATTCTCACACTGTGTGCCTACCCATGGCAGACAAGGGAAGAGATAGACATGCTGGGCAGGAAGCTGGGGTCAGGATCACTGCACTCTACAGGTGGCCAGCAAGAAAAGATACAGGGTAGGTAGGCTCATACACTGCAACTTTGTTAACATGAGAAATCAGGCATCACATTCACCTCCTCTCCTCTCTTCAGAATCCTACATTCATAAACACTGTTTTCTGTGTGTTTTTTTTTTGGAGACAGAGTCTCACTTTGTCACCCAGACTGGAGTGCAGAGGCACGATCTCAGCTCACTGCAACCTCCGCCTCCTGGGTTCAAGCGATTCCCCTGCCTCAGCCTCCTGAGTAGCTCAGACTACAGTGCCCACCACCATGCCTGGCTAATTTTTGTATTTTTAGTAGAGACGGGGTTTCATCATATTGGCCAGGTTGAACTCCTGACCTTGTGTTCCTCCCAACTCAGCCTTCCAAAGTGCTGGGATTACAGGCGTGAGCCACCGTGCCCAACTGATAAACACTGTTATATAAGTGTTTCCTTTTCCTTGCTTTTTCTTTGCCTGGCCCATCTCTAGGTAAGAACTTCTTCCGCCACTCACCCTAGCCTTCACCACGCCCTCACCTGTCTGACAATGCTCTGGATCAGTTTGTCCATTGTAAAGGCAATGTAGGCATGAATGGTGAACATCTCTCTCAGCGAATCTTCATACTGTGATGAGTCTATGTTGCCATCCAGCAGGCTCCGCACCATGTCCAGGAAAGCTGGGTAATAATCTTCTACATCAACATCCACTGTGGGAGAGATGGGATAGGTGAGGGATTACCCTGCTAAGAAAAGACTAGGGATCGAGTCCAGGGCAAATCCCACAGCTGGCCTAAATGGTATTTGAAAGTATGAACGCTAGGTATTTAAAATGTACTAACTCATTCCAACGTAAACGGACATGAATTCTGACAGGTGACTACAGTCACCAGCACTATCAGACAGTGACTCTGCAACTTTAACAGTGGCTTCTAATATTCTGACTGACCACGCTAGAAACTTCTTTATGGTACTGCCGGGCTATTTTAGGAGATGAAAATATCTTAGGGAAGCCAGTCCTTCAAAGAGTTGTTGGCTCCCCTGCTGAGACAAACCTGCTGTCCCAGACTGCACAAGAGAATTCCTCCCATGGGTCACTTGCTCATAAAGCTATTTCAATGAAGCATAAAGTACGGATGAGAAAAGGCAGACACAGCCATACTCCAGTACTGGGAAACCTCTTGGGAACGAAAAAATAGGAGTGCAAATTAAATCCTTTATGAATAATGAAGTCATCTGCATTTGTCAAAGTCCTTTTGTTTAAAAATGGATTCGCAACATTGTATTTCACAAATTGTATTAAATCATCTCTACTTGCTGCACATGAATCATTTCAACCACTACCTAGAATAAATCTTATCAGATGTTGTTATAGACATTCGGCAACTAGCAGAGGGCACAAGGAATGCTGAAGAGTTCTACTGTGAGCTTACTAAAGACTCATTTATATAAAGTTCAAAAATAGACAAATCTAATTGCTAGAGTGTCAGAAATCAAGAAAGTGGCAAAAGGATTGATTATTGGAGTACTGGTTATATTTCTTTTTTTTTTTAGATGGAGTTTTACTCTGTCACCCAGGCTGGAGTGTAGTGGTATGATCTTGGCTCACTGCAACCTCTATCTCCTGGGTTCAAGTAATTCTCCTGCCTCAGCCTCCTGAGTAGCTGGGTTACAGACAGCCACCACCATGCCTGGCTAATTTTTGTATTTTTAGTAGAGATGGGGGTTTCACCATGTTGGTCAGGCTGCTCTCGAACTCCTGACCTTGTGATCAGCCCGCCTCAGCCTCCCCAAAGTTCTGGGATTACAGGCATGAGCCACCACGTCCAGCCATGTTTCATTTCTTGAACATGGACATGTCTAGTCTGTAAAAACTCACTGAGCTGCACAATTCTGATTTGTATACAATATATGTTGTACTTTTTTTTTTTTTTGGGCTGGAGATGGGGGTCTCACTATTAACCAGGATGGTCTTAACACACCTGGCCTCAAGTGATCCTCCCACCTCGGCCTCCCAAAGTGCTGGGATTACAGGTGTGAGCCATTGCACCCGGCCTATACACTGCACTTTAATAAAAAAGTTTACTTAAAACAACTGGCTTGAGTTTCATCACGGAGTATCACATTGCTCAGGCCCACAGAATAGGTATGGGCTATAGATGCCAAAATATACCACTGTTATGAAAACTGCCTTTATGCCAGAATAAAGCTTTGAGTCTAAACCACATACTTGTTCAAATAAGCTGTGAGGGTTGGCATTATCACACAAGACAATATTATGTAAGCCTCAAACCAGATTAAGTCAGTGGTCAAGCCAGGAACAGGCCATTTTATTTCTAACTTCTACCCGAGTAGGTGGAATCACCACAATGAGGTCTAAAGTTTCTATCTTTCAAGCTAGGACTAGTCCAGATAAAAGCTTTTAACTTCCAGTGTCATCAGCTCTTCAACAGATAGAAGGCTAGGGCCATATCTGGGCTTCCTACATTAGCAACACTTAAAAAAAAAGATACACTCCTCAGATTGGTGATTTCCTTAAGGGCCCAGAAGAAATGCTTCATGAAAAAGCTTTTGGCTCACAGCTCAAGTACCTAATTTATGAAGTGAACTGGAAGCAGGCAGCACAAAATTACACAAAGCGCATGACAGCATCCTGAACCCTCACTTACTTCCTTTCCCTCAGTTCTACATCTTCATCCCCGTTCTTTGTGTTTTCCATGTCTCACATCACCTCTTGAGTTCCAGTCCCCTTTCCATTAACTATTTCTAAATATTAGGAAGGAGCTATAAATCCCACTGGTTAAACAGAAGTCCTGCCCAAACAGAGAAAATTCTGTTTTAAGCACTAGGAATTTCTGTTCTGTCATGGATGGAAATGGACTATGACATTTTAGTCCCTATCTATACTTTGAAACAGCTGGTAGTAATCCAGAAATGTGCCATTTGGGAAATTAACTGTGATACCCCCTTCCCTGGTATGTCCCCAATACCAAACAGTGACCAAATGTCCATGATCTAAGCCCTGGATAGGATAGTTTGCACAAAGCAATGCCACAAAGCAACTAGCACCTCCATTTTTCAGATAAACAGGTTCAGAGAGTTTAAGGTAACACAACCAGTAAACTGCAGAGCCACGATTTGAACCCTACACAGACTCTAAGGCCTGTGCTCTATTAATAAAAGAAGCAGTCCCGAGTCCAGGTAGCTCTAAGGTCCTCAACCTCACACATCCTCTGTAAATCAGAGGTCTAAGCACTCACTAGGTTCTTTGAGACGTAGCTGAATGGCAGGGCTGTCACTCTTGTCTCGCTTTATGCCCAGCACTTCCCGTTCCCATTCTCTCTCTCGGTTTTCTTCTTCAATTTGCCGTTCAGCTTGGGAACAGATCCGTAGCAGCCTCAGGCAGAGAATCTGGTGCAGTCGCATAAAAATATACCAGTTGTTATTGACATAGAAGAGGTTGTATACTTCATCCATTCCTCTTAATTTTTGAGCTGCTGTGTTACTAAACAGTAACTTGGACTTAGGGGGACTGCCCCCAACACCATTGTGCTTCTTAGCTGCCCCTGTGGCTTCATCTACATCCATCTCTTCTTCTTCCTCTTCCTCCACATCCGAAAGATCACCTCTCTGGGCGAAGAGCAAATCTGGAATAAAATGATGCATGATTTGCTTTATCTTATACTTGTCCTCTTTCTGAATGCCTGTCTGCCTCTTCACATGATGGATAATCAGAGCAGCAGCATCTTCCAGTATTTGTTTGTCTTCATACGCAAGCGAGAGGTGGGGCCCAACAGGTACACCAGCATTCTCTTCCGTAGCCTGCTCTTGCCTCTGATGGGACAGAGACATAAAAGTATTCTGTGAGATGTCTACAGCAACAACATGCCTAAGAGACCACACCAGCCATACATCCCATTATCCACCATAGTGTCTATATTTTTCTAATCAAAAGCTTAGGACCTGGGGCTGGAAGCAGTGGCTCAGCCTATAATCCCAGCACTTTGGAAGGCCAAGGAGGGCAATCACTTGAGGTTAGGAGTTTGAAATCAGCCTGGCCAACATGGTGAAACCACATCTCTACTAAAAATACCAAAATTAGCTGAACATGGTGGTTGATACCTGTAATCCCAGCTACTTCAGATGCTAAGGCAAGAGAATCACTTGAACCTATGAGGCAAAGAATGCAGTGAGCCAAGATGGTACCACTGCACTCCAGTTCGGTCAACAGAGTGAGAGTGTCTCAAAACAAAAACAAAACTCAGGACCTGAATTTTTGTCCCTCTTCTAGAAACAAACAGGTAATGACAGAGACGCTGTTTGATGTCAAAATACAGGTACCTTCTACACCCCGATGACTTACAGGGAGAGTGGAACGGAATTGGGACCATCATCTTTCTTTCTTTTTTTTGACAGGGTCTTACTCTGTCACTCAGGCTGGAGTGCAGTGGAGCAATTTTGGCTCACTGTAACTTCCACTTCCCAGGTTCAAGCCATTCTCATCCTTTAGCTTCCTGAGTAGCTGGGATTACAGATGTGTGCCACCACGCCCAGCTAATTTTTTTTTTTTTTTTTTTTTTTTTTTTGAGACAGAGTTTTGTTCTATCGCCCAGGCTGGAGTGCAATGGTGCGTTCTCGGCTCACCACAACCTCTGCTTCCTGAGTTCAAGCAATTCTCCTGCCTCAGCCTCCTGAGGAACTGGGATTACAGCCCATGCGCCACCACCACGCCCCGGCTAATTCTGTATTTTTTAGTAGAGACAGGGTTTCTCCATGTTGGTCAGGCTGGTGTCGAACTCCCGACCTCTGGTGATCCTCCTGTATCGGCCTCCCAAAGTGCTGGAATTACGGGTGTGAGCCACCACGCTGGGCCTTATTTTTGTACTTTTAGTAGAGATGAAGTTTCACCATTTCAGCCAAACTGGTTTTGAACTCCTGACCTCAAGGGATCTGCCCACCTCAGCCTCCCAAAGTGATGGGATCACTGGCATGAGCCACTACACCCAGCAGGACTATCTTTTAAAATTCTGGATTAGTATTTATATAAAGGATACAATATGAGGTCTAGAATTTCCTATACTTCTGGGGTGGCGGTATGAAGGGTGACAAAGTAATATCAGCAAAATATGGATGATTAAATTTATTTATTTTATTAATTCATTTTGAGACAGAGTCTCACTTTGTCACCCACACTGGAATGTAGTGGCATCATCTCAGCTCACTGCAACCTCCGTCTCCTGAGTTCAAGCATTTTTCCCACCTCAGCCTCTCGAGTAGCTGGGACTACAAGCATACACCACCATGCCCGGCTAATTTTTGTATTTTTAGTAGAGATGGGGTTTTGTCATGTTGGTCAGGCTGGTCTCGAACTCCTCACCTCAGGTGATCCACTTGCCTCAGCCTCCCAAAGGGCTGGGATTATAGGCACTAGCCCAGTACTGTGTCCAGCCTATTTAAGTTTATATAAGAGCTTATTTTACTATTTTTTAAATTCAGGATCACCTGCTCCAGGAATTCCCAACTGCACTGGATTTATGTTTCTATCCATCTTCTAAAATTGAGCTCACAGTTCATCTCTGATCCTAGCTCCTAGTACTATTTATAGTCCTGGCAGGCATGCAACAAGGATAACAAAGAGTTTGGTGGTCGATGACAAGTTTTGAAGCTGTAGTAGGGAGAGATGTGACTGTATGAATACAATGTATTGAGGGAAACAGGCAGTGGGAGAAGTGGAAAATGGAGGCAGGAGGTATAAGTTGAAACCAGGATAGTAAACTAGGAAACTAGTTAAACAGCTTAGGTGTAAAGTTTAGATTTAAAATGGTAGAATGAGGAATAGAAAAGGCTATGACAGCTATGAAGCAAGAATCAACAGGTCTTAGAGTGTCTCACCTTCATTTAACAAAGGTAATTTCCAGAAATTAAAGCTGTACTAAACATAGAGTCCTCCTACAGATGTAGAAAACCCCAGCTCACCTCATCATAGATACTCTCAATCTCATTGAGTAAGCTCTTAGACCTCAGGACCTTGGTGTCATTTTGTTTAAAGTTGATCCCCTGGTGGTCCAGAGACTTCAGGTAGTATTTCTCATTTTGTTCTCGCCATACTTTGTTAAAGCCTCTCTGAGCTTCTCGCCATTCTTCCTCTTTCATCTTCAACCTGGTGAAGTGGGAAGGGACGGAAACAACACATGGGAATTCAGAGGGTTTAGAACAAAGAAATCTGCCAGGCTTACATTATTTCAAGAAAAGTTAAAGCTATATTAGGTCTGTCAAAATTATTGGCAACTTGGGATAAATGTTATCAAATCTGTCTTGAACTCTGTTTCATGAGGAAATTACTCATCTAAGACTTATTTTGGGGAAATGATTTATCTCAAAGTCAAATAATTTCCCTAGAACAGTTACTTATCAAACAGCATTCCAAGGAATACCTTTGAGATGTAAGGAAGTATTCCTTGAAAAAAACAGTTCTGTTCTTTTGCCAGCAAAAATAAAGTTAAATATGTTTCTTTGCTGCAGGATTTTGCAAAATGTTCACAATGCTAATTAAGACATAGAAGGTCCAACAGCAGGGAACGTGCGCAGTAATGTTCCTCTGGATACAGTCGGGAAAGTTCTGACCAGAACTGATTTTAATAACCCAGAAGAGAACAGACTAAGACCAAAAAAACAGCACTAAAATGGAAGAATCACCAACATCTCAAAAGCCAGAGTTAAATGTTACAGGCAAGAAGAAACCATCAATCTGTGCCAGCTCTTGAGGGGAAGATGAAGGGCAAATAAAATTTGGGTATTTGTCAACCAAGCAGCAAACAAGAATTAATTTTTACCAGATGATACTTAGAGAGAACCAAGCTCACAGCAAAGGATTCAGTGTGGTCAAGAATGACACAGGGCTGGGCATACTGTGGCTTGTGCTATAATCCCAACACTTTGGGGAGGCCAAAGCAGGACGACTCCTTGAGCCCGGAGTTAGAGATCAGCCTGGGAAACGTAGCAAGACCTTGTCTGTATTAAAAAAAATTAACAATTAGCTGGGGGGTGGTGCATGCCTGTAGTCCCAGCTATTCAGGAGGCTGAGGTAGCAGGATCACCTGAGCCTGAGAAGTTGAGGCTGCAGCGAGCTGTGTTCACACTACTGCATTCTAGCCTGGGTCAAAAAGTGGAGACCCTGTCTCAAAAAAAATAGCAACAAAAAAAAAAAAGATTTTAAGTTAATCCTGCGTGGCAGGAACATGGGTGGTAATTTTCTTTTCTGTATTTTAAAATACTCCCTCAAACATACACACAGAGCCTTCCACCATGAACCTACAAGATTTGTTCTCTAATGTTGGTCACAAAGAACTCCCAAAAGAAGTCATTCTGCACGTGAATTCCAACAACCAGGGCTGGGGAGAAAGAGAGGTCTCATGGGACAACCAGGTTGAAAATGAGAGCCTTATTTAGTGGGACACCAACACAGTAGTGAAGTACACTAAAGCACCGAGAGCACATTTGTTCAGGTACCTTTTAAGGACAATTGGGACAGCGATGGAAGGATTCTTTCTCAGACCATCAATGATGTCAGCTGCTTTATCAGCATATATCCTCTGGAGTGCTTTTCTATGGATGACTTCTGACGTGCCCCCAAGGGTGTTGTCCAAGCGAAATTTGGCTTGTTCCTCAGCAGACAAGCGGGAAAGCTTCTTCTGTATTGCTTCCAGAACCCGGATGGTTGCCAGATTGGTTTCTAAAACTACATCAAGCTGAAGAGGAAGACAAAGGTATGCTTAGGACCCAAACCAGAATAGAATAGAGTAGTGGTTAGACGAATAAGGTAGGGAGTTAAACTCCTTGGATTTGAATCCTGGTTCTGCCTTACTGGCTACATAAGGCTGTTTCGATAACAGCACCTATTACTCTAATAAGCTTGTTTTTGGATTAAATGATATAATCTACATAAAGTATTTAGCACAATACATGGCACATTAAGAACCATAGGATTGAGTCTGTAGTCTATAAAGAGAAAAAAAAAAAAAGAACCATAGGATTAAGTTGGATAAATGGTAGTTATTACCTCCACCACCACCAATGTGTGCCTTGCTCAGAACTACCGATCTCGCACCAGAGGAACCTAACAGGAGATGACTTTACTGATACTTTTCTCTGAACTTTCCTGAATTGCTAAGATCTGTTATGAACAAACAATATCAGAACAATCCCAAAAGACCTCTGTCTTGAGAGTTTTTTGGTTTAACTAGAAATATTTAAATATATTCAAATACTTAAAATATTCAATAGCCTTGTTCCGCATCCAGTAATAATAAAAGCAGTGACTATCATACACTAAGGAGTTCGCTGTTGCATCTGTGGGTAATCATTTAAATTCTTATTGAACTCCTGGCAATCTTTGATTCTACTTTTTCCCTAGCATAAACTAAGGTTCTTTAAATGAGGAACAGAAAATGAAGTAAATGGGCCAGGTGCGGTGGCTCACGTCTGTAATCCCAGCACTTTGGGAGGCCAAGGTGGGTGGATCACGAGGTTAGGAGATTGAGACCATCCTGGCCAACATGGTAAAACCCATCTCAATATACAAAAATTAGTTGGGCATGGTGGCGCGTGCCTGTAACTCCAGCTACTCAGGAGGCTGAGGCAGGAGAATCACTTGAACCTGGGAGGCAGAGGCTACAGTGAGCTGAGATCACACCACTGCACTCCAGCCTGGTGACAGAGCTAGACTCCGTCTCAAAAAAAAAAAAAACAAAAAAGTAAACGAGTGGTCTCAAGGACCTACAGCCAAATGTTTGCAGAATTGTTCCCTATGTTTTCTTGTTTTGAGACTCTGGTAGTCATTTTGTCAATAGTTCTGGACCCTCTTGCTCTCCAAATACAGAAAAAAAATGGACTAAATTTCCTGGCTCCCTTATGAATGAATAGGGCCATGTAACTAGTTCCAGCAAATGATTTGTTATGAGTTGAGTAAAAGTAATCTTTATTACTTCTAGGCTGGAGCATTTAAAGGTGAGGGATCTTTCTGGGCTCTCTTTTCCTTCTAGTAACTGGCAACATTCAATTCCTTGGCCTGGGTCCCCAAGTGATTCAGACACGCCAAATCCCCTGCTAAACACCAATGTACATGTAGAATGATTAGAAATTAAACCCAATGGTTTTGCAAGTCACTCAAATGTGGAAATTGTCTGTATTGAAGCATTACTAACCTATTTATGATTGGTAAAGCATGTTCCTTCAAACTAGCCCATCCCATCAAATCTTAAACACATGCACACCCCACACTTCTTTCATCTTTGCCCTTGTAGTCACGAATGAGAAATGAGGCTGCCTCTCATTTGCAGGCATACCAGTTGAGAGAGGATGGGAACATTCTGTCAAAAATAGATGCCAAGCTATCCTAACTCATCCGCTAACCCCACTAAACAGAAGTAACAAAGAAATGCCTTCTTTAGCTTGATAACACTCCCTATGGAAGTTAACATCTGTCATGATATAGTTTTCTGCAAATAGCTGCAACTCCTTATAAATGCTGGGGCAAAGATGGCCAACCACCTGCCAGTGGTAAGGCAGCATGTGGCTGTTCATTAAAAACACACCAGAAACAGCTGAAGCAAGTGTGACAAGGAAAAACTGGCAAAGAGCTAAGAGTATTAAAAAAAAACACTTGCAAGATACCTATCCACACAAATAAGCGCAGCCAGTCAATTTAATGTAATAGACATACTAAATAGGATACATGTCATTTTACCTCTTTAGACAAACTAGACTTCCATTTTTGATAATGATAATGTAAACTAGACATATAAACACACTGGGGATTTTGAGCCTACTTTCAGTAGTCCCCCTCCTGACATAGTGGTATGGGGCTCTCTACCACCTCCACTCTATTTTGAAGTAGTTGGGAAGAGTGGAAAATAAAGTCCCTGGGACAGGCACAGTGGCTCATGCTTGTAATCCCAGCACTTTGGGAGGCCAACGCGGGTGGGTCACTTAACGTCAGGAGTCGAGATCAGCCTGGCCAACATGGTGAAACCCATCTCCACTAAAAATACAAAAAAATTGGCCGGGTGTAGTGGCATGCACCTGTAGTCCCAGCTACTTGGGAGGCTGAGGCAGCAGAATGGCTGGAACCCATGAGGCAGAGGTTGCAGTGAGCTGAGATCATGCCACTGCACTCCAGCTTGGGTGACAGAGCAATATTCTGCCTTAAAAAAAAGAAAGTCCCTAATTTAACCATCCTTCAGGCCAGGTATGGTGGCACATATCTGTAATCCCAGCACTTTGGGTGGTCAGGGTGGGACGATCACTTGAGCCCAAGAGTTTGAGACCAGCCTGGATAATGCACTAAAACAATGTCTCTATAATAAACAAAAAACTAACCACTGGGGGATAGGGGACAAGGGGAAGGAGAACATTAGGACAAATACCTAATGCATGTGCAGCAAAGGTGCACCAAACCACCATGGCACATGTATACCTATGTAACAAACCTGCACATTCTGCACCTGTATCCCAAAACTTAGTTTAAAAAAAAAAAAAAAAAAAAAAATTAGCCGGGCATGGTGGCACACACCTGTAGTCCCGGCCACTCAGTGGCAGGCAGGGGTGGGGGTCTGAAGTGGGAGAATTACTTGAGCCTGAAAAGTTGAGGCAGCAATGAACTATGATTGTGCCACTGCATTGCAGCCTGGGTAACAGAATGAGACACTGTCTCAAAAAAAAAAAAAAAAGGAGGAATCAATACCAGAAACATGAAAGAAATATTCCAGTTCTCATAACAGAGCTGGTTTGCTAACTATGTCAAGATACTTGCTAGGGGTAACAATACATACAGATCTTAAATAATGTGAGCCTCTGGCTCTTCCATCTTAAAAAGCCGGCCCCTCAGAGACAGGTATTGAGATAGTCTTTCACTGAGCATCTCCCATTTCCCCAAACTTCAAATGCCAAAAAAGCTTGTACCTCAAAGCGTTCATCTTCACAACGATAAATATGTTCTTCATATTGAGTCTTCTTGGAACTCACAAAGGTGGAGTCCTCAGACCACGAAGGAAAGGAAACCCAGGTATCATTTAAAACCTTTGGGTAGAAGAAGAGAGACTGAAAAAAAAGGCCTAAAAAAGCTTTCTGGTGATTAAGCATTCTCAATAAAAAGACAAAACTCTAGGGGAGAAATAGGCAACTAACATTACTTCACAAATTTCACCTCAGCAAGTTTACAAAAAGGTATTAGTAAGGAAAGGGTTCTGGATATAGGTGGAAAACATGACACCAGGTGCAGTAGCTCACGCCTGTAATTCCAGTGCTTTGGGAGGATGAAGCAGGAAGATCGCATGAACCCAGGAGGAGTTCAAGACCCCACCTTTACAAAAGTAAAAACTTTTATTTTTATATTTTTAGCTGGTGTGGGGCATGTGTCTAAGTCCCAGCTACTTGGGAGGATCATTTGAGCCCAGGAGGTTGAGGCTGCTATAAGCCATGATCACATCACTGCACTCCAGTCTGGGTGACAAAACGAAACCCCGTCTCAAAAACAAATAAAACAAATAAAAAACATTTTATTTTTCAAAAGGATTGGTTCTTAATTTCATCATTCACATAATTTCTCAATCCTTGGTACTACCACTCCCTTCCGGAGAAAGCTGAGGACCCAGTGATCCCTGCTAGGGAAGGCCTTACCTCTTTACAGAGAGGAGTCCGTCCGGTACACTTGGGCTGCTGGTAACTCTTTGGTAGGGCTCGATAGCTGGAGCCCAGTCGTTTACAAGAGGCGTAATCTATCTCCATGGCAATGCCCTCTGTGGCTCGCTCCTTTGGAAAAGTTTCCAGATGTACAGACTCCTTATAGCCCAGAAAGTTTTTAAACCAATTAAACAACTCAGGGAATTTCCTGAAGAATCAAACCAAAAAGCGACAAGCAATCAGAGGCATGATACCGTCATCCTGAGGTGTGACCAACACCATCTGGTTTCAGATCAGAAACCTGCTGCCAGGGACAAATTCTTTCCTGCCTAAGAATCACTGCTTCTGAGCATCTGGTTTCCCCTCTTCCTAATAAAATACGCTCAGATCAGTTAAAGTGGTGATAAAAGAGTTGTACTGAAACCAGGCAAAATAAGCCATTCTTTCATCAAAAATATTGCTTTAATGTTCACATAATTCTTAGGTTGTCAAATACAGAAAAGATTCCAGAACTCTGGGAGAGATTTTCTCAATAAACATCCAGCACTGGTCAGAAGATCAGGAGGCCACCAGTCTTGGACATTAGTCAATAAATACTTAACTGCCCTCGCTATTTTTTCATTTCTAGAATTGGACTAGAATACTTCTCGGGACTCTTTTGACACTAATATTTGAGTCAACTAACCTATCTCAAGTAAATTAACTTTGCCTATCACATACTCTCACAAATCAAATATTACCTGGCCTCCATAACACAAATCAGAGCTAAGCCCCTCACTTCACTTACCCCAGGAAAGGAGAGACTAGCTGCACAAGCTCAGCGCGAGAAATCACCTCCTGGTTAAAAATAACAAGACAGCGTAGAAAATTTTCATAGGCTTCTGCACTCCGAAGAGCCTTTCGAACCTTATGGAGACAACGGGAAGAAAAACGGTTAAGTGAGGAATTGAAAAGGGCTTTGCTCTGTTGCTTAGAATGGAGAGCAGTAATGGAGTCCTGGCTCACTGCAGCCTCCCACCCTCAGCCTCCCAAGTAGCTGGGACTACAGGTGTGAATTACCATGTCTAGCTAATTTCTAAATTTTTTATAGAGACGAGGTCACTATATTGCCCAGGCTGCCCTACCATTAGTTTTTAAAATTGGGGAAATTTGTGGCTGGGCATGGTGGCTCATGCCTATAATCCCAGCGCTTTGAGAGGCCAAGGTGAGCGAATCACTGGAGGCCAGGACTTGGAGACCAGCCTGGCCAACATGGCAAAACCCTGTCTCTACTAAAAAATACAAAAATTAGCCAGGTGGTGACACATGCCTGTAATTCCAGCTACTCAGGTAGCTGAGTGAAACATGAGAATCATCGCTTGAACCCAGGAGGCAGAGGCTGCGGTGAGCTGAAATAATGACACTGCATTCCAGTCTGGGTGACAGAGCGAGACTCCTTCTCATAAGTAAATAGGTAAAATAAAAATTGGGAAATTTAAACTGATATCTGATGATGCTACGGAATCAATATTAGTTTTTTTAGATGTGACAATAATTGTGTTTCTAAAAAAAAAAAAAAAGTTTTTTTTGAGGCGTAGTCCAGCTTTGTCACTCAAGCTAAAGTGCAGTGGTGTAATCTCAACTCACTGCAACCTCTGCCTCCCAGGTTCAAGTGATTCTCCTGCCTCAACCTCCCAAGTAGCTGGGATTACAGGAGTGGGCTACTATGCCCAGATAATTTTTGTAGTTTTAGTAAAGATGAGGTTTCACCATATTGGCCAGGATGGTCTCAAACTCCTGACCACAAGTGATCTACCTGCCTTGGCCTTCCAAAGTGCTGGGATACAGGTGTGAGCCACTGTACGCGGCCAAAAAAAGGAGTCATTTAAAAAAAAATTTACTAAAATATTTATGGATGAAATAATGTATCTGCTAATTTGCCTCCAAATAATCCGGAACGGTGGGAATATAAATGAAACAAGTACACTGGCTAGGATTGGGAACTGCTGAAGCTGATGGTCAGGTACATAAGGTATCATTTTACTATTCTCTTTATGTATGTCCAAAATTTTCCAGTTAAGCGCAATAACTCAAGCCTGTAATTCCAACACTTTGGGAGGCCGAGGCAGGTGGGTCACCTGAGGCTCGGAGTCTGAGACCAGCCTAGCCAACATGAAACCCTGTCTCTACTAAAAAAAAAATACAAACAATTAGTTGGGTGTGGTGACAAGTGCCTATGATCCCAGCTACTCGAGAGGCAGGAGAATCGCCTGAACCCAGGAGGCGGAGGTTGCAGTGAGCTGAGATCACGCCACTGCACTCCAGCCTGTATAACAAGAGCAAAACTGTCTTCCAAAAAAAAAAAAAAAAAAAAAAAATCCATATTAACAATTTCAAAAGTGGGATCTTGGAGTATACCTTATCATATGCTTGATTCTCCAGACGATATCAGAGTTACCCAGGCTTTAGTAGACCCTCTCTCTCTCTCTCTTTTTTTTGGGGGGATGCAGTTTTACTATTGTTGCCCAGGCTGGAATGCAATGGCAAGATCTTGGCTCACTACAACCTCCACCTCCCGGGTTCAAGCGATTCTCTTGCCTCTGCCTCCCAAGTAGCTGGGATTACGGGCACCCACCACAATGCCCAGCTAATTTGTTTTTGTATTTTTAGTAGAGACAGGGTTTCACCATGTTGGCCAGGCTGGTCTTAAACTCCTGACCTCAGGTGATTCACCTGCCCCAGCCTCCCAAAGTGCTGGGATTACAGGCATGAGCCACTGTGCCCAGTCTGTTGCCTCTCTTAACAAGTTTATAGCAAGAATCTTTGCTAAAACTGTTTTTTTTTTTTTGAGACGGAGTTTCACTCATGTTACCCAGGCTGGAGTGCAATGGCGCGATCTCGGCTCACCGCAACCTCCGCCTCCTGGGTTCAGGCAATTCTCCTGCCTCAGCCTCCTGAGTAGCTGGGATTACAGGCACGCGCCACCATGCCCAGCTAATTTTTTGTAGTTTTAGTAGAGACGGGGTTTCACCATGTTGACCAGGATGGTCTCGATCTCTTGACCTCGTGATCCACCCGCCTCGGCCTCCCAAAGTACTGGGATTACAGGCGTGAGCCACCGCGCCCGGCCGCTAAAACTGTTTTAAAATCTGGCAATCTTGGATACTTCTGTCCTCTGATCTGGTCCTTTTTCTTCCTATTTACAATATTGGGCATCTTAATATCAAAAACCTAAATATGATCAATAGCATAGACAAAGTAAAACTAGCCTGGTTAGATTACCAATCTGGAGTTTCAGTTCCAAAGTAAATATTTAGCACTGTGATTCTCTGGTGAAGACTGTGGACTGTCACCAAACCAAGTAGCTTATCAGCAACACCTGCTCCAGACTTCTGTATGCTCTTCATAACTGTTCATCAATAGATACTACATAGAATCTGGACTTTTCAAGCTAAAGATGAAAGAGCATTGTACCTTTTATACTATATACCCTATTTACTTTTAATGTTTATTAGCTTACACAAAAGTAGACAAAAGTATACGAACCTATGTACTCACCCAACTTCAATGATCTATAGTAAACTTTTTTCATCTATACCCTCTTCTCCTTATCACTGCATTTTAAAGCAAATTCCAGATATTTCATCTATATATAGTATACATGTTTTTAAAAAGTACTCCTAAGAAAATGCCATTACAGGGCTGGGTGCAGTGGCTCACACCTATAATCTCAACACTTTGGGAGGCCAAAGCAGGCAGATCACCCAAGGTCCGGAGTTCAAGACCAGCCTGGCCAACATAGTGAAACCGTGTCTTTACTAAAAATACAAAAATTAGTTGGGCGTGGTGGTGGGTTCTTGTAATTCCAGCTACTCAGGAAGCTGAGGTAGGAGAATCGCTTGAACCCTGGAGGTGGAGGTTGCAGTGAGCCAAGACTTGGCCATTATACTCCAGCCTCAGCGACAGAGTGAGACTGTCTCAGAAAAACAAACAAACAAAAAAAAAACCATTACTCTTAGAAATTAACTTATTTTCAGAAGACTCCTTAAGGCAAGGCGTGGTGGTGGCTCATGTCTGTAATCCCAACACTTCAGGAAGCCTAGGATGAGGCTGAAGGAGGAGGACTGCCTGAGCCCAGGAGTTTGAGACTAGCCAGGGCAAAACAGTGAGACCCCCTCTCTCTCCAAACAATTACAAAAATTAGCTGAGTGTGGTGGTATGTAACTATAGTCCCAGGTACTCAGGAGGGTGAGAAGGATCACTTGAGCCCAGGAGTTTCAGATTGTAGTGAGCTATGAAAGCACCACTAAGCTCTGGCCTGGATGTCAGAGGAAGACAATCTCTTAAATAAAAAAGGCCAGGCATGGTGGCTCACACCTGTAATCCCTCCACTTTGGGAGGCCAAGGCAGGCGGATCACCTGAGGTCAGGAGTTCGAGACCAGTCTGGCCAATAAAGTGAAACCCCATCTCTACTAATACAAAATTAGCCAGGTGTGGTGGCGGGTACCTAGGGTGGTGAGGTGACAAGGCTAAGGTAGGAGAATCACTTGAACCTGGGAGGCGGAGGTTGCAGTGAGCCAAGATCACACCACTTCACAGCAGCTTGGGCAACAAGAGTGAGACTCCATCTCAAAAAAAAAAAAAAAAAGATTCCTTATTTGCATCTACCACTGAGTCTGTTCCAAGTTAAATTGTCTAATTAATGTCTTAAAAATTGGCTATTAGCTGGGTGTGGTGGCTGACACATGCAATCCCAAAACTTCAGGAGGTTGAGGCGGGTGGATCATTTGATGTCAAGAGTTTGAGACCAGTCTGGCCAACATGGTAAAACTCTGTCTCTATTAAAAATACAAAATTTAGCTGGGTGCTGTGGCATGCGCCTGTAGTCCCAGCTATTTGGGAGGCTGAGGCTGGAGAATTGCTTGAGCCCAGGAGCTAGAGGTTGCAGTGAGTCAAGATCGCGCCATTACACTACAAGCTGAGAGTGAACCTCTGTGTCAAAAAAACAAATAATTAATTAATTAAAATAAATTGGCTTTTAAATGTAGAATCAAAAGTCTGTATGTCACATTTGGATCATATATTTCTTAATTCTTATTTAATTTACAATAGTTCTCCTTCCCTACCCTCTTCTTGACATTTATTGTTGTGATCTAGACTTCCAACACGTGTCTAAAAGCACTAACTGTTCAAGCAGACTTTGGAAATGGTTTGCATCAGAGCTATGGACTCAACAGTCTTGCAGGACTGTCCTGCAAAAAGCTCACATAGGCATGGCAGACAGAAGGGGATCACGAGATACCAATCATGGAGATGTCACACCATCTGCCCTTTTGCAAAACCCCAGAGGCACAAAATAGAGTAAATCACCACAGATCAATCCAGGTTGGTTCCTACCAGCAAGAAGCCACACAGTTGCCAGCTACCCTGATGAAACTTTTCTGCTAATCACCAAGTTGACTCCAAGGAGGAAATCACACTTAGTTTCTGTGGCCAAACTAAAACACCACACAAGATCGTTTATGCCAATAATCTCAACTCTGGCTGCTCATTAGAATCACCTGGGTAGCTCTGGTAACATGCAAGTAAATCAGAATTCCCTTGAATGCTACATAAGTGCATACTACAAACAACTATCACAGCAATAACATAAGTCATCATAAGTCCTCAAAAACTGGTACAGTCACTGGTACTGCCTACCACACAGACCTGGATATCTACAACAGGGAGCTCCAAACATCCTTTGGGAGAAACATAATACATTTTCTATAACTCTGTCTCCTGCCCCAAACTGCTTCATAAAACCAAAGCAAACAATGCTACCATTTCTCTAGCTGTGCTAATAGTGCTAGCAGACTCAAAGGACTCATAACTGGGAAACTATGTTAAAACACAGAAAGTCCTAATCAGTCTGACACCTTTAAAACAAAACCTTCTAGGAGATAAGATGATTTTCTTTTGGCATTCACAGGCAATATCAAATCTAAGTCATTCATTACTCACCTTATCAAAAAATAATGATTCTGTTCCACCACCGTGTTTGCTGGCATCTGCCATAGAAGAATCCTTTAGATTGAGGAGTTTGGGTTTCTTCTGCAAAAGAAGATACAAACATGTGACATTCAAAGAGTGGTTTTCTCCGAATTCTATTTTTGTCTGTGTTCAATGGCTTCATCACTAAAACCACTGATTAATAATTTGAAACAAATGAGAGAACTCTCACCAACTCACTCCATAACCTCAAAGATTTCTACTCATAGTTTCTATTTCAGTTTGCCTGTTATGTTTCTTTCTCCAACAGTTTCAAAGATCATTCTACCCTCCACAAATATTCTCTCCAGAAATGATCATGGCATTACTGTGACAAACTTTTGGAATATCCTTTTTTCTAGAGGCCCAAAGTACTTTGTTTAGAATCTAATGCCGCTGTTTTCCTACCAGTTGAGGGAGAAGAGGCTACCTGTAAAAAGAACTGGTGCACATGGCCTGAAATTGGCAGAAACCAATCTTTAACAATGAATAATATTTCAATTAAAAAGTTATTTAAAAAGCATAATTTTTCTAATAGAAGAAATATGTATCAGCAATATCCACTCAGACTAATTTAATATTGTTCTTTTAAAGGGAACCAACAGGCCATGCTATAACCCTGTCAGGCAAGAAGTTACTCTTAACATCCACTACTTAACTCCCGATGAGAAAATGCACAAACTTAGTGAAAAGTAGCACATTTATTTACCTTGGCTGTCTTAAAGTATACTTTCTTACTTGCCACAGCCTCTGCTTACACTGCCTACTGAGAAAGTAGGTGGAGAATTACAAGCCCCCACTAGATTCTTTACACCTGTAGGTAATCAAGATTGGGAGTATATAAATCCAAGCATGGAGGATATCTACTGAGCTGATTCTTGCTACCCATATAACTAATTCTCTTTACTGAAGTGAATAGAAACATTATGTTCAACTTGCTTTCAAAAGAAGAAACCATTACAAACACTAATGAATAGGATACTTCAAAAGTATTAGTAACACCTAATATATCAGATCTTATAGTCAGTCACTTACTATTCATCAGTCACCTCTTACTGTATCTCTTCCATATTACACACTGCTTTGAAATTCACTGAAGAATTCAACATTCAATACATACAACTAGCCTTTTCCCTATCATAGCTGTGTCACATCAAAGAAGGGAGTAAGCAGAGCTTCCTGCAGGCAGACCATCAGTGTTAACTATAACAAAAAACATCATGTAATTGATTACTAGCAGGAGTTTAAGACTTCCCTCTGCTACAGTCCAAAGGTCCTGCCTTGGAGATTGAGATGATACAGATAACATCTGGTAACCCAACAAAGAACTCTGAGCAGGACAGGCTTCTAGACCAAAGAGATCTCACAAAGCACATGCACTCTACTCAAGAGGACCTCAGAGATCACTCATTTCTGAAATTCTCAAGAATCTTCTTTCTTAACACAAGGCAGCTTTTTTTTTTTTTTTTTTTTTTTGAGACGGAGTTTCACTCATGTTACCCAGGCTGGAGTGCAATGGCGCGATCTCGGCTCACCGCAACCTCCGCCTCCTGGGTTCAGGCAATTCTCCTGCCTCAGCCTCCTGAGTAGCTGGGATTACAGGCACGCACCACCATGCCCAGCTAATTTTTTGTATTTTTAGTAGAGACGGGGTTTCACCATGTTGACCAGGATGGTCTCGATCTCTTGACCTCGTGATCCACCCGCCTCGGCCTCCCAAAGTGCTGGGATTACAGGCTTGAGCCACCGCGCCCGGCCAACACAAGGCAGCTTTAAAGCCTCAAATAAGAAGGGGCCAGGCGTGGTAGCCTGTAATCCCAGCACTTTGGCAGGCCAAAGCAGGTGAATCACCTGAGGTCAGGAGTTCAAGACCCGCCTCGCCAACATGGCAAAACCCTATCTCTGCTAAAAATACAAAAATTAGCTAGGCGTTGTGGCACATGCCTGTGGTCCCAGTTACTTGGGAGGCTGAGGCAGGAGGATTGCTTGAACACAAGAGGCACAGTTTGTAGTGAGCTGAGATTGCGCCATTGCACTCCAGCCTGGGCAACACAGAGCGACTCCATCTCCCAAAAAAAAAAAAAAAAAAAGAAGAAGGGAAAATTATTTTAAGTCTTAGATTAGTAGCAACCAAAACATTAAAGAAATGACAGCTGACTGCAAAAGAGATAGTACAGAACTCAAAAAAGTACAGTAATCCAAGCAATCAATGTTATTGTTAATACTCTTTTGCAAAGCCAGATAAACTGTGCACTGAGTTTCCGTGACATGTACTAACTTGCTCCAAGCATCTAGGATCCAACTGTTAACGCACTTAAAAACACACGACCACCTCTAGAGTACTTGTCCACTACAATGGCTTGTGAGCGTCAAAATGAGCAGCTGCTGCCCATTCTCACCTTAACTGGAGGAGTGGTTCCTGTAGGGTGTCTGCGGATCTGGCAGCCATTCTGGCTAGGCCTCTGCGGCTTGTTGTTCAGTTGGGGCTTCTTGACAGTGCCTCCATGATCATTTCTCACAGAATCAACCTTCTCAGCAGTTGTTTTGCTTAAAAGCTGATTAAGACACATGAAAGAGATTAATGCTCTTATCAAAACAAATAAATATCATCTAGGAAAAGTCCCTTTCTGAGTGCAGTTTTCCAATTTATCTAAGATGATAATCTTAAATAGTGTAATTCTTCTAAATAAAACGTACCACGGAGCTGTTGGCATCTGGTAGGAATTGTCCAAACTCTGACAACAAATCTTCCTGGTTTTTAAAGAGACGAGCCACCTGGGCATACACCTCTTGCTCTGTCAATGCTGGAGTGTAGTTTCCTCCAGCTTCCTTGGCATTTCTCTGCTCTTTCTGAGGAATTGCAAATGAAAAGAGATCATATTAAAGGGCCACTGTTTTGAGTCCTTCATCTGTGCACACTTTCTGGAATCACTGTTGTCTACTTAGGCTGCTTACTAAGAAGAAAGTCTATATTCTTAGCACCTATTTTGAGCACAGACTTTCAAGTTGAGAAAAAAGTAGAAGACAGTGGATGATAATTCCTTTCAAAACTAGGGCAGTAAATTTTTGGGGGTCAGTTTCACTCTTTTTGCCCAGGATGGAGTGAACTTTCTTGGCCTCCCAAAGTGCTGGGACTACAGGTGTGAGTTACCATGCCCGGCCTGGGGCAGTAAATATTAATGCCCAGGGGACCACTACTAACTTACAAAACCTTCAAGAAATTTGTCCTCCTCCTACTGCAGATTAACTAGACTATACAAATCACCATCTAACTGTCCCAGATAAAATAGGGCTTCATTTCATGGGCCAGGGACTTTAAAAACCCTGACTAAGGCTGGGCATCATGGCTCACACCTGTAATCCCAGCACTGTGGGAGGCCAAGGAGGGAGGATCACCTGAGGTGAGGAATTGTAGACCAGCCTGGCCAACATGTTGAAACAACATCTCTACTAAAAGTACAAGAATCACTTGAACCCAGGAGGTGGAGGCTGGAGTAGGCCAACATCGCGCCATTGCACTCCAGCCTAGACTAAAAGGGTGAAACTCTGTCTCAAAAAAATTAAAACTCCTGACTGAATGTTGCAGGGCAATCAAGTCAACAAATAAAACTGGCTTTATAGGCTGGGCACGGTGGCTCACGCCTGTAATCCCAACACCTTGGGAGGCCAAGGCGGGCAGATCATGAGGTCAGGAGATTGAGACCAGCCTGGCCAACACAGTGAAACCCCGTCTCTACTAAAAATACAAAAAATTAGCCGGGCATGGTGGCGGATGCCTGTAATCTCAGCTTCTACGGAGGCTGAGGCAGGAGAATCGCGTGAACCTGGGAGGTGGAGGTTGCAGTGAGCCAAGATTGCACCACTGCACTCCCGCTCAGGCAACAGTGAATGACTCTGCCTCAAAAACAAAACAAAACAAAACGAAAAATGGCTTTATAAACACAAATGATAGTTTCTAACTGGTTAATTTCCAGTATGAATTAGTGGACATAATAATGATTACTTAAGTTGTTCTTGGACTAGATGACCTAAGAGGGTAGCCTGGTTAAGACAGGCTGAACGGGCACTCCTCTTACCTGATATGTGTGCAAAATCTCCAGGAACGCTTTGTAGATGTCTGGTTGGCCCTGGAATCTGTTCTTGATCTTATTAACATAGTTGATAGCATGATTAAACTCCACAGGTTGATTGTTCTGCAAGGATGGGGCTGTTCCCAACGAGATTGTCACTGGTGTGTGAGGCTGGACCGGCGGAGAACGTGGGGATGCATATGGTGGAAGTGGGGGAGTCTGCTGACTGGCTGGAGTATGTGCTTGTAGTTGGGAAGGCTAAAAAGAAAAAAAGTCTTTATTCTCCTCAGGTGCATAGATGAGTTGATACAGGAAAAGTTCAAACTAAAAGAGAAACAAGGTGTCAACTTATATCCTTTATTTACTCACTCAGGCTAGGCCATTTTAATCCAACACAAATCACACTGGGCAGCAGTGAGAGTTGTAGAGGGTTCAAACATGCTGATACAAATATCTGTCTTGCATTTTCTAAAAAAAAAAACCTTAAAACTGGTGCCATCTCCAATTATAGAGAAGAATTTTTCATATGCAATGTTTACGCTTAGTAGCTCAACAAGTACAAATAGAAAAACAATCTCATTCTACATAGCCTTTTGATGTCAAAAAAAAAAGACACCTCAATTGTTGTAGTAGCTCCACATAAAAAAGTCTTCTACACCAACTCTGTCCTGTAGAACTGAGATAATGGAAATGTCCTTTATTTGCACTGTCTTACATAGCCACTAGCCACATGTAGTTACTGAGCACTTGAAAGCTAGTGCAACTGAAAAACTGAATTTAATTTAAATTTAAATAGTCTTACGTGGCCAGTGGCTACTGTGTCATATACAGTGTGGTTCTAGACAAAAAACACCCCATCTTCATCATCATCACCACCATGATTGTTCATTACACCTTCTGCTTAGCTTGATATAATCTGGTAAGTGAAATAACTTTCATAAAATGATAACCACGTGGACAGTAGCAAAATTTGACCACGGTAAGATGGTTTCTGTCTGTGCTGTCAATTACTGTTAAACAAAGTCGCTACCTGTTGGGATGTACATGGTTTTATAAGCAGAAACTGTAAAGACAAAAACCTTGAAAGTTGTTGTTGTATTGATTTAAACAGATACCTAAGTAAGTGGTGTGTCAATGTGAACCATGTCATAGAGAAGTGACTACTGCATTTTCTCTGATGAATCTTTGTAACCTTGTGTCTCAGTATCTAAGTTCTATATAAAAGGGAAATGTCAAAGGAAAATGCTTTCTAGGGATGCATTCACATTGATGCAATATTTTCCAAGTGCTCACCTTGCTGACTTTGGCAGGTGGGGGCTGAGGAGCTGGCTGGGCAGGAGCTGGGGCTGACTGGGCTGAAGGCTGGGAAGGATGTTGGGGTGGTGGTTGAGGCTGGGGCTGGATGCCATGGGTGGGAATCTGATGAACCTGGCCAGGAGTTGTCACATTCACCATGTCATTGGTTTGCACCTCAATTTTGTAGCCAGGGGGCAAGAAGGTGTTGAATCCCATTATCAGGTCAGGGTGGCCTTTGAATAGCTGGGACACACGACTAATCACTCCTGGAGTGTCGATGCTGATAAAAAACAAAAAGAAAAGTGATGGACTGCAAGCTCAACAAACACCCATAAGAAAAAAATTTCACATTTTTTTTTTGAGACAGGGTCTCGCTCTGTTGCACAGGCTGGAGTGCAGTGGCACGATCTTCGTTCACTGCAACCACCACCTCCCAGGTTTAATCAATTCTCCACCTCAGCCTCCTGAGTCGCTGGGGTTACAGGTGTGTATCACCATGTCCGGCTAATTTTTTTGTATTTTTAGTAGAGACGGGTTTTTCCCCTCTTGGCCGGGCTGGTATTGAACTCCTGACCTCTTGAGCCACCTGCCTCGGCCTCCAAAGTGCTGGGATTACAGGCGTGAGCCACCATGCCCAGCGTTTTTTTTTTTTTTCGGATGGAGTCTCACTCTGTTGCCCAGACTGGAGTGCACTGGTACGAACTTGGCTCACTGCAACTTCTGCCTCCTGAGTAGCTGGGATTACAGGCATGTGCCACTAGGCCTGGCTAATTTTTGTATTTTTGGTAGAGACGGGGTTTCCACATGTTGGCCAGGCTGGTCTGAAACTCCTGACCTCAGGTGATCTGCCCACTTCAGCCTCCCAAAGTGCTGGGATTACAGGTGTGAGCCACCTCACCCAGCCAAAATTTCACTTTCTATTAGGTTTTCTCTAAATAGGAAAACAGATAAACAATCTACACATTATAAAATTAACACGCAAAAAGCTCTGAAATTCCAAAGCCATTTTGCTTTAGACTCAAAACTTGGCCACATTGTTTTTTTTTGCTCTGTTTTGTTTTTTGAGATAGTCTTATTCTGTTGCCCAGGCTGGAGTGCAGTGTTGCAATCTCGGCTCAAGGCAGCCTCCGCCTCCCGAGTTTAAGAAATTCTCCTGCCTCAGCCTCCCAACTAGCTGGGATTACAGGCACCCGCCACCACGCCCAGCTAACTTTTGTATTGGTCAAAATTTTGAACAGAATATACGCTCGTGGTAACAATCCCACCAAGCAGACATGCAGACAATATATATAAAGCTACAAATCCCACATAAGATTCCATCTTTGATATACCATTATACATCATTTCAGCACACATCTGCATTGTTCAGATGAGTTACACTCTTATATCAGTGAAGCATGCCAGAATATAAACCAATTCAAAAACCAAGTAGCCTAAATCATTACCAGTGCTACTTCCCTGATGGAGACAAGGCACTGGACAAAATTTAGTTAAGAAAAATTTACCAATAGGGACAAAAAAAGTCTAGTGGCCATAATTCCCATCAATAAAGGAATGCGTAAAATAAAGGCATGATTTGGAAAATTCAGCCCCAAAAAGGAGCATCCTTTATCTTCCAGTAAATAAACTATATCCTCTTCCTTCCAAAATCAACATGTCAGACACAAAGGTCGAGTACAATGACACATCTTTTACCTCTGCGATTTAAATTCCTTCATGATGTCAAGGAAATCGTTGTAGACCTGAGGCTGACTACCAAACTGCAGTTTCACCTGGTCAAGATAGGACAGTGCGTCTTCCACCTGAAGCAGGGATAAATATCAAGGTTATAAAAAGAAAATAAGCTAACAATTATAAAAAAAAAAAAACAACAACCAAATTATTTATGCCTAAATATGCTAACACAGTAAGTGAAATAAAAACGTCTTAAACATATACTTAAAAGTTAGTATGGATGCCACTTATAAACTCAAGCTTAACATACTCATAAAATCTGTAGCCTTGTCTTGGATTATTTTGAACAGAATGATCATTGCAGAATAACTGATATATCACTGATTCATTACACAAGCCTCTACTAAAATACAACATGCATGGCCCAAAGAGGGTACCAAGGATTCAATGAAAAATAATTTGTAGCCCCCTCGTCTATAGACATTTGTTCTTATCTAGTTGGGAACCATAACACAGCGGGTAACGTGGTAATCACTCAATGCCTGGAGATGACATGGGAAGGACATGTCTTCCCCACCAAAATAAATGAGGCTTCCCTAGGAGATAATGTGTAAACTGAGACCTAAAGATGAGTATAAGCTAACAAAAGTGAAGACCAGTGGAGAAAATCAAAGAAAGCAGCATGGACAAGATCCTAGACAGGATACCATATGAGATATTTGAAATCTGAAAAGAGTTTAGTTTGGCTGGAGGATCTGTAGTGAACAGTACTGGAAGGAAAAGTAACAAGAGATGAGACAAAAAAAAGCAGGATCTGGATTCTGAAAGGACTTGTGAATCTTGTGAAAAAGCAATTTACATTTTTATCGTCTGCATTTTTGTGTACTCAATTTGACTTCAGTGTCTAGAAAAAAATTGGCAGAGGAGCAGAAAAGATTGAAAGAAGGTAGGAAGACCAGTTATGCTACAGGAGTAACTGGACAACTCATGTGAAAACAGTGGCTTGAATTATAGTACTGGCCCAGAACAACAGAGAAGTGCACAGATAAAAAAGCTTTTTGGCAAGTAGAAGTAACAGAATTGGGGAACTGAATGAATACGGGAGCTAAGGGAGAGCCAGCATTCAAAAGTGATCCACCACAGAGCAGTGTGAGGAAGAAGGGGTGAGAGTGACTCCCGGACTGATCAAAGCCAGCACACGCTACACCCTGCACCCAGCACTTACATCCCGCTGCATCAAGACCAACGCCAAGAGAAAGCCTGAAGGGGATGCTGAAGGGGACAGAGACAAGGTGAAGAATGAACCAGAGAAGATCCGCAAGGTTGTCTGCTAAACCTGATCCTTCAAAGCCCTAGCCCAACCCTAAAAAGGCCCCACACAAAGAAGAGAGAAGCGGTACCCAAAGAGAAAAAAGAAAATGCTGACACTGACAGGGAGGGAAACAACCTTGCAGAAAATGGAGATGCCAAAACAGACCAGGCACAGAAAGCTGAAGGTGCTGGAGATGCCAAGTGAAAAGTGTGCATTTTTGGTAACTGCACTTCTGGTAACTGGAAAGTTTGAACTATAATTATGAAGTGTGTAAATTTTGAAATACCATTATTTAAATCAAGCTTTATAAAAATGCAGAGTTTTGCTTTTTTTAATGCTATGTTGTTAGCACATAGAACATTGCATTGGTGTTTTGGAGGGAAGGATCACAGGTCACTAACAGAGTGTCTTTGAAGCTGGATTGATGTGAGGAAAACACCTTTCCCTTCTAGTTTTGAGAGACTTCCTTTGGCTTACAGAAGAGATTCCCTAATTTTATTTATTTATTATTTTTGAGACAGAATTTTGCTCTTGTTGCCCAGGCTGGAGTGCAGTGGCGTGATCTCAGCTAAATGTAACCTCTGCCTCCCGGGTTCAAGTGACTTTCTTGCCTCAGCCTCCCAAGTAGCTGGGATTACAGGCGCCTGTCATCACACCTAGCTAATTTTTGTATCTTTCGTAGAGACAGGGTTTCACCATGTTGGCCAGGCTGGTCTCGAACTCCTGAACACAAGTGATCCAGATCCACCTCCCTCAGCCTCCCAAAGTCCTGGGATTATAGGCGTGAGCCACCACACCTGGCCTAGATTCCCTGACTTTTGACACACATGGCCACCTTGGCACAAACACCTCGTGGGATGGAAAACCAAATTCATTTTTATGTCCTGTTCTCCCTTCCCACCTTCAGCATAGACTTAACTCCCTTATGCTCAGACACCTGTTGGGACCTAACCCCAAATAACTGGTTGCCAGTGTGTCAGGCAATCAAACTTTCCAGTGATGCCACTGAGATGGCAGCCCTCAAGAGCAGTGGTTCCTTTTCTAGACTGTGGGATCTTCAGAAAAATCCTGCCATTTTCATTTTACTTCCTGAAAATCAGGGTCAGCTCATGAAAAGTTGTTAAACAACGTGCTAAATGTGAAATGTCAACCTTCACTCTAAACTTGCCCTGTTCAGAGCATCAAATGAAGACTTCATTGGGTTTTATAGTGGATTTTTGGTTTTTTGGTAGCTCATTGTTAAGGATTGTCTGTCCACGTCCTGCCTGAAATACCGTGATTGCGTGTGGGAAGTACTTTAATATAAAGTTTGATACAGTTTGGCTTGGGGAGAATAAAAGTGACCTATCACAAAGAACAGGTTGGAAAAGGCTAAGCTATGAGTCTGATTTAGGAGAGAGACACCCAAAGGAAATGCCCACTAGGTGTTTCCTATATACTCTGAGATGAATAAGGTTTTTTTGGTAGTTTAATTGAAGTCTAAATGTTTCAAATTACACAAAATATCAGGTATAAGAAACTTCAGAAATAAACATTTGATGTGATATAAGCAATTCTTTCTCTTTTTTTTTGAGACAGAGTCTCGCCTTGTCTCCCAGGCTGGAGTGCAATGGAGCAATCTTGGCTCACTGCAACTTCTGCCTCCTGGGTTCAAGCGGTTCTCCCGTCTCAGCCTCCCGAGTAGCTGGGATTACAGGCGCATGTCACCTCATCCGGCTATTTTTTTGTATTTTTAGTAGAGATGGGGTTTCACCCTGTTGGGCAGGCTGGTCTTGAACTACTGATCTCAAGTGATCTGCCTGCCACAGCCTCCCAAAGTGCTGGATTACAGGTGTGAACCAGCCAGCCAGAGATAGTCTTTCAATATGTTGCAAAATGGGACATTTACATTCAAATCAATCAGTAACTGGTACTATGGTCTGAATGTGTTCCCCAAAATTCTTAAGCTGAAAATTACCAATGTGATATTAAGAAGTGAGGCCTTCAGAAAGTGACTATGGAGCCCTCATGAATGGGATTAGGGACCTTATAAAAGGGCTGGAGTGAACTAGTGTTTGTCCCTTTGGCCTTTCACAGTGTGAGGACAGAGCATTCAGGCACCATCTTGGAAGCGGAGTTCAGGCCCTGACCAGACACGAAACCAACTTAATTTTATTTATCTATTTTTTTTTTTGAGATAGGGTCTTACTCTGTCACCCAGGCTGGAGTGCAGTGGCACAATCTCAGCTCACTGCAACCTCCACCTCCTAGAGTCAAGAGATTCTCCTGTCTCAGCCTCCAGAGTAGCTGGGATAACAGGAGCGCCGCCATGTCTGGCTCATTTTTTTGTATTTTTAGTAGAGACATGGTTTCACCATGTTGGCTAGGCTGGTCTTAAACTCCTGACCTCTAATGATCCACCTACCTCAGCTTCCCAAAGTGCTGGTATTACAGGTGTGAGATACTGTACCCAGCCAGCACCTTAATTTTAGATTTCCCAGCCCCTGGAACTTCTCTAGAACTGTGAGAAATAAACTTTTATTATTTAGAAATAGATGACTCAGTCTCAGGTATTTTGTTTTAGCAACACTAATGGATTAAGACAAATGGCTCTTCTTCAGACTTCCATTACGGCCATGGTTAATCAGGGTTTCAGTGTTGCTAGAAATCAGATGGTTTCAATACCCACTTGTTTGATGGTTAGTTTTTCTATACAAATATGACAATTTCTGTTGAAATTCAATGGACTATTTACTTCATATTCTAAACTTTCCATACTGTAATGTTTCATTAATAAATGACCAACTTAAGTGAACACAAAATGCATTAAGTTTGCAAAAGGAACCAGGATTTTGGAAGATATTTAAGAATAGCATGCATCTTTATGACAAAAGAAGAGTTATCAATAAGACATGATATAAGGTAACTACTGCAGAGAGGGGAAAAGTACAGAAAACAAAAGAAAGCATTTATGTGTGATACATGTATGTCTGAAAGAAAAAGGTACTGAAAGTCACAGCAAACCACTGTTTAAAAATTAGTTATAGGCTGGGTACAATGGCTTACACCTGTAATCCAAGGACTTTTGGAGGCCAAGGAGGGTGGATCCCTTGAGGCCAGGAGTTTGAGAGCAGCCTGGCTAACATGGCAAACCCCATCTCTACTAAAAAAAAAAAAAAAAAAAAAAAAAAAAAAAATAATAATAATTAGGTAGGCATGGTGGCACACGCCTGTAATCCCAGCTATTTGGGAGACTGAGCCACAAGAATCACTTGAACCCAGGCTGGGGAGGTTGCAGTGAGTTGACATTGCACCACTGCACTCCAGCCTGGGCAACAGTGTGAAATTCTGTCTCCAAAAAAAAGTAAAAGAAAAATTAGTTATAGAATTAAAAACCCTGCATGACACTCACATAATAAGTAAGACACCTATATGCAATAATAGTGAGGAAATTCTCCCATCACCTGAAGCATAGTCCAACTCTTACATAAACTCTCTATAAATGCATGTATACAGTTCTAGGAAGCACAACTTAATAAAAAAAAAACCTTGGATGTCGTTATTTAGAAGCTACCAATTTAAGGAAGCACTTGCAGAGACCCTTAGACTCTGCTAATCAAGTTTCTTAGCTCGCTTCAACAGGATTTTACTATTAAGTTAAGGCCCTGAACCTCCTGAAGTCTACAATCTTGTTAGAGAAACACACAAGCAACTGTAAAGAGAACTTGCTAAATATATACCAAATATCACTGTTGCTGACGTTCAATAAATAACTATCACCAATCATGCCTCAAATCACTCATATCCCTTCTTGTCACCACCAAGCTATGAAAAACAAACAAAGGACAATGTTGAGGCTTGATGTAATGTGTAAGCATTTTCACTGAACGTTTCTTTTTTTATTTTTTTGAGACAGAGTTTCGCTCTTGTTGCCCAGACTTGAATGCAGTGGTATGATCTTGGCTCACTGCAACCTCTGCCTCCTGGTTTCAAATGATTCTCCGGCCTCAGCCTCCCAAGTAGCTGGGATTACAGGCATGTGCCACCACGCCTGGCTCATTTTGTATTTTTAATAGAGATGTGGTTTCACCATGTTGGTCAGGCTGGTCTTGAACTTCCGACCTCAGGTGATCCACCCGCCTTGGCCTCCCAAAGTGCTGGGATTACAGGTGTCAGCCACCATGCCCAAGCCTGAATGTTACCTTATTGCAGAATACAAATGATTTATTGAACTTGATTTAAATGCCTGTAATGCATTTTATGACTGATCCAAAAATGGCAGGCAATGTGCGAATACTTAGTTAAATTACTTGGAGGCACAAGAAGCATTTACCTCTCCACATTAGAAAGGAAATTCAACAAGTTATTTTATGCAGGAATATAGTCAAGACCTTGTGACTAAATGAAGACAGGAAGAAATCCTAACTCTATCCATGACTCATTCTATGACCCCAAATCCAAAACCCTTCCTTGTTTCCTTGACAGTTTCCGTAAAACAAACAAAACATAATCCACATACTTATACCAAAGACTCCTGTGAGGAAGGTAAAAACTGATGTCGTGCTTTGAGAGTTGACTGAAAAAGGCTATAGAAGGCCGGGCGCGGTGGCTCAAGCCTGTAATCCCAGCACTTTGGGAGGCCAAGGCGGGTGGATCACGAGGTCAAGAGATCGAGACCATCCTGGTCAACATGGTGAAACCCCGTCTCTACTAAAAGTACAAAAAATTAGCTGGGCATGGTGGCGCGTGCCTGTAATCCCAGCTACTCAGGAGGCTGAGGCAGGAGAATTGCCTGAACCCAGGAGGCGGAGGTTGCGGTGAGCCGAGATCGCGCCATTGCACTCCAGCCTGGGTAACAAGAGCGAAACTCCGTCTCAAAAAAAAAAAAGAAAAAGGCTATAGAAATAAATATGTTTTTGTTAGTTTAATACCAAGTTTATAAGCTATTTTGCAACATTAAAGTGTAACCACTCAATATATAGTGTTAATAGAAGAAATCACTTGTAACCAAGTTTAAAAAAATATGTATTTTCAGGACTTAGTTAAAGTGCTACTCCCACAGCAATAATACGTTTTGGTACACAGCCATCACTTTACAAGAGAGTGAAATTTTTTAAGGAAAAATCTTAAAAAATTCCTTACAGACAATATTCCCTAGAGACATTTTCCCAAAGACAGAATCCAGAGTGAAGCTTCAGGCCTAAAAAATCTGTACTCTCTTTAAAGACCATGCATTAGTCAATATTATATAAGCCAATATAGAGAGTACATTGTACAAAATTCCTCTAAATCACTTAGCTTTGCTGTACTTTATAATATTTATGTGGCATTTAATGTCCTTAGGCCAATATTAAACAAGTTCCCAAGAATCCACACCAATGAGGACAGGGATCACTAAGAACTAAATAAGTGTCAGGGAAAACAGAAGACAGAACTATTGCTGCATATGGATGTGTCCTTCAAGGGTTTATTGCTCATTCCTGCCTGCAAGCAACTTAAGTAGGCTACTATAACCAAATCAAGACTTAACATCACTTCAGAGTTCCTCCATTTATTATTTCCTGAACTCGATTTTACATAAACATAAAATTAAAAACTGAAACCTTAACACTTGCTGCAACAATCATACATTTTGAAAGGTAACATTCAAGTTGTCAGAGACACAAGCTTAGCTGAGAACACAAGCTTCACTTCTCCACAGGTGCCTCAAGAATTTCAAAGCACTGGAAACTTACCACACATACTCAGCAGGAAATAAGAAAACACTGATAATTCATTCACAGTTATAGTTTTCCCCAAACTTTATAAAGATTCCCCCCAAAAGGAGCATGTGTTTTACTAAGCACGGACCTGAAGATGTGAGTCAGTTCAGCTATTCATAAACAGGAATAAAAAGATGAAGGTAATAAAACGTTATAGGCATGAACTGTGCATGGTGGCTCGCACCTGTAATCCCAACACTTTAGAAGGCCAAGATGGGAGGATCACTTGAGGCCAGAAGTTTGAGACCAGCCTGGGCAACATAGTGAGACACCATCTCTAGAAATTTTTTTTTTTTAATTAACAATAAAATTAAAATATTTTTAAATAAAGTGCCCGTAATCCCAGCACTGTGGGAGGTCAAGGCGGGTGGGCTGCCTGAGTTCAGGAGTTCAAGACCAGCCTGAGGAACACGGTGAAACCCCATGTCTACTAAAAAAAAAAAAATACAAAAAATTAGCCGGGCATGGCAGCGTGTACCTGTAATTCCAACTACTCAGGAAGCTGAGACTGAAGAATGGCTTGAACTTGGGAGGTATGGGTTGCAGTGAACCAAGATCATGCCACTGCACTCCAGCCTGGGTGACAGAGAGAGACTCTGTCTCAAAAAAAAAAAAAAAAAGATTTAATAACAATATTACTGGGCCAATTTACTGAACAAACCTGTAGCCAACCATATGTGTGTTCAATAGAGAGTTCAAAAGGAAGCAGCCAAAAAATGGATTTTAAGGTTTATTTTGTATGAAAATGGCCCCTCAATCCTGATAACATTTAAATGACAAGCATTCATACAATCCACAAACATTTGAGTATATTCTTCTCTGGATCAGGCACTGGTGCCAAGATAGGAAACGTAAGCAAATTTCACAAAGCAAAAACAAGGTAAAACTTGAGATTCAATACCTAGTATCTCAGGTTAAAAGTCACACCACCACAACCGATAAGCTGCAGCCAATACTTCCTGCTAAAGATAAACTTTTTGACTCAAGAAAAGGAGCCGAATACCACCTTTAGCCTCTGAAACTGCTGCTGTCCCTGCACTGGTGCAACTGGTGGGGCTGGATGAGCATGACTCTGGACCACCTGGCCTCCGTGGGGCTGCACAGCTGTTGGGTGATGATGGCTGCTATGAACTGCTGCTATGGTGGGCCCATGACTGCCGGAGCTCTGTGGCACGGCTGAAACCTGTGGTGAACAAAATACAGACAAGAAACTTCAAGGCTTGTACATTCTTCCCTAAATGTGTCTAGACAACTAACATAAATACACAAAGATAATTAACTGGTAACCCAAATTTCTGCTGGGTGTGACGGCTCACACCTATCTCACCTACATGGGAAGATCACCTAAACTCAGGAGTTCAAGGCTGCAGTGAGCTATGATCATACCACGGCACTCCAGCTTGGACCGCAGAGTGAGACCATGTCTCTAAAAAGAGAAAAGACAGCCTGGGCAACAAAGTGAGATACATACCATCTCCACAAAAAATAAAAAAATTGGCTAGTTGTGGTGACATGCGCCTGTGGTCACACCTACTCTAGAGGTAAAGGAGAACTGCTTGAGTCCACAAGTTCAAGGCTGCAGTGAGCTGTTATCACGCCACTGCTCTCTAGCCTGAGTGATAAAGTGAGACCCTATTTCAAAAAAAAAGGAAAAGAAAGAAAAAGAAACCCAAACTTTCCACAAAAGGAACTGGTGAAATAATAAATTACAACCCACCCATGTTATAACAGCATTATTATTATTATTATTTTTTTTTTGGGGGGACGGAGTTTCGCTGTCGTTACCCAGGCTGGAGTGCAATGGCGCGATCTCGGCTCACTGCAACCTCCGCCTCCTGGGTTCAGGCAATTCTCCTGCCTCAGCTTCCAGAGTAGCTGGGATTACAGGCACGCGCCACCATGCCCAGCTAATTTTTTGTATTTTTAGTAGAGACGGGGTTTCACTGTGTTGACCAGGATGGTCTCGATCTCTTGGCCTCGTGATCCACCCGCCTTGGCCTCCCAAAGTGCTGGGATTACAGGCTTGAGCCACCGTGCCCGGCAATAGCATTATTTGTAGCTATTAAAAATTGCATAGTTTAGCTGGGCACAGTGGCTCACACCTAAAACCAGCACTTTGGGAGGCCCAGGCAGGTGGATCACTTGAGTCCAGGAGCTAGAGACCAGCCTGGCCAACATGAGGAGACCCATCTCTACTAAAAATACCAAAAATATTAGCCGAACGTGGTGACACATATCTGTAATCCCAGCTACTGGAAAGCTGAGGCACGACAATCACTTAAACCTGGGAGGTGGAAGTCGCAGTGAGCTGAGATGGCACCACTGCATTCCAGCCTAGACAACAAAGCAAGACTCTGTCTCTAAAAGGAAGAAAAAAATTATAGTTTATTTCAAACTATCTGGGGTATAAGATTTTTCTTAAAATTCCCAATCCATCAAGGACCACAACTTTTATAAGAATCCAATAAAAATAAATTACTGTGAAAGTGAAATAAAAAATACATAAACCCATCATTTTCTTTTTCTTTAATTGAAATGGCGTCCCACCCTCTCACCCAGGCTGGAGTGCAGTGGTACAATTATGGCTCACTGCAGCCTCGACCTCCCCAGGCTCAAATGATCCTCCCAGCCCAGGCTTCTGAGTAGCTGGGACTACAGGCACATACCACCATGCCTGGTTAATTGCTGTACTTTTTGTATAAACAGGGTTTCATCATGTTGCCCAGGCTGGTCTCGAACTCTTGGGCATGCAGTTCACCTGCCTTGGCCCCTCACAGTGCGGGTCCCAGGCATAAGCCACTATGTAACTTTCATTACTTCATTTTAAAAATAAAAGGTAATGTCCAATTGCTAGAATTGTTTCCAAACACTCTGAATTTCTATGCTTAAGTCATTAAAGACTAGAAACAAAGGATACAGATTATCATTTGTAAGCCACGCTTTCAATAGCAGTGATATAGATGAATATATTTAAACCTGAAAAAAAGTCCATAATCCACAAGTTGAATGTATTCATGTACTGTCTATAGACTTAAACTTTTAAATAACTTTTTAAAGCACGTTACACTGGGTGACAGAGCAAGACCCTGTCCCAAATAAATAAATAAATAAAAGCACATTACAAAGCAGTATGATAAAGATTTTAAACCCTAGACAACTGATACATAACAAAATGTTAGCATTTAATCTTGTGGCTACAAAATTATAGATGACTTTTATTTTGTTTCTTTCTATTCTTATAGTGTGTTTAGTAGAGATAGGGTTTCACCACGTTGGTCAGGCTGGTCTCGAACTCCTGACCTCAAATAATCCTCCCGCTCTGAACTCCCAAAGTGCTGGGATTACAAGTGTGAGCCACCATGACTGGCCTAATTTATTTTGCTTATCTTGGTTTGCTACAAGCATTATATCGAATGTAAAAATTTTTTTTTCCAAATTGTTGGTGGTTTGGCCTCAAACAAATGTCTTTTCTATTCTTTTATCTCAATCTTTCTCTTCTTTTAAGTTTGAGAAAATAAAAGCCACACCCACCTTCCTTCTATATCTATTGCAAGAAATGCTATAAAAAATTTCAGAGCTTTTTTTCCCCCTTTTTCAGACCTGTTGATCACCATGGAAAACAACAATCTGACCAAATGCCTGAGTGCCCCATCCCCAAAATAAGGAGACTAAATAACATGAAACTTTCTTTCTCTAAGCAATGTTAAATTTTATACTACAATTTAAGAGTGAGTAAAACTGTTTTCAAATCCTTACATTTATAACAATTATCCTGGAGGGAGATGAAGAAATGAGGGAGAGGGAGAAACTGAGTGACTATGCATAAATCCACAGAAACAATGCAAGGTAAATTAAGAGTAAAAGAAACTATTTAGACAATTCTAAAAGCTCTAATATACTTCAACATGGGCTATTATTCTGAGTTTCTATATTCCACATGTATACAGGTTTACAGGCTTTTACAAAACTGACTTGGAGTTTAGGTGGTTAGTTTTATACAAGCACATAGTTTCCATATGGAAAAAATGTAATTATCCCACATGTAGGAAATAGTCATTAACCTGTCTGGATAATGAAAGTAATCACCCAAGGAAAACAAGCAACTTTTTTTCCTTCCAAGTCCTAAAAAATGCCATCTGTTGGCAGTCTTCTGAGCGCTGCCCTAGCCCCACAGGAAGGCATTAGAATGCTTCAAGGGGACCCCTAAGGAAGACTGACACCTAAGGAATGACCATTTCCTACTTCAACTGCATTTCCCTATTTGTATTTTTATACTAAATTATTAGAAATGGAATTGCCAGATCAAAAAGTAACAAAAGAATCTGACACAAACTGCCAAATCACTCTCAAATAAGATTACCTCAGTTTATACTCCCAGTACCAGCCATACCTTTTTAAGGTCACTAACAAGTGAGGTTGAAGGCCTCTCCAGACCAGCTATACGTTGAAGTAGAAAGACATCCACTACATATTAAATAAAAAGAGTAAATGGCAGAACAGTATGTACTGTACGATCCAAATTGCATCCCAAAAAAGTGGAAAGGCCAGCCGCAGTGACTCACGCCTATAATCCCAGCACTCTGGGAGGCCAAGGCAGGCAGATCACTTGAGTCCAGGAGTTCTAGACCAGCCTGGGCAACATGGTGAAATGCTCTCTCTAAAAAATATACGAAAATTAGCCAAAGGTGGCGTGCACTTGTAGACCCAGCTACTTAGGAGACTGAGGTGGGAGGATTGCTCGAGCCCAGGAGGTGAAGGTTGCAGTGAGCCAAGATCATGCCATGGCATTCCAGCCTGTGCAAGAGTGTGACACTGTCTCAAAAAAAAAAAAAAAAAAAAAAAGTGAATTTAGATAGCTATATAGGTTGATACAGATAACAAAACTGGATGCCGAAGAAATTCACCAGTGGGAGAAAATCCGAGGGGTGAGAGAGAAAAAGTGATTTTCTATTCTTTCTTAAAAAAAAAAAACAACCAAGTATGGCCAGGCGCAGTGGTTCACACCTGTAATTCCAGCACTTTGGGAGGCCAAGGTGGGCAGATCACTTGAAACCAGGAGTTCAAAACCAGCCTGGCCAACATGGCAAAAACCCATCTCTATTAAAAATACAAAAATTAGGCTGGGCATGGTGGCTCACGCCTGTAATGCCAGCACTTTGGGAGGCCGAGGTGGGCGGGATCATGAGGTCAGGAGTTCGAGACCAGCCTGACCAACATGGTGAAACCCCATCTCTACTAAAAATACAAAAAAAATTAGCCTGGCATGGTGGTGGGCGCCTGTAATCCCAGCTACTCAGGAGGCTGAGGCAGGAGAATCACTTGAACCCGGGAGGCGGAGGTTGCAATGAGCCGAAAGTGCACCAATGCACTCAAGCATGGGCAACAGAGTGAGACTCCATCTCAAAAAAAAAAAAAACAAAAATTAGCTGGGCGTAGTGGCATGCACCTGTAATCTCAGCTACTTGAGAGGCTGAGATGCAAGAATCACTTGAACCCGGGAGGCAGATGTTGTAGTGAGCCAAGATCGTGCCACTGCACTCCAGTCCAGGCAACAGAGCAAGATTCCATCTCAAAAAATAAAATAAGGCCGGGTGCAGTGGCTCATGCCCATAATTCCAACACTTTGGAAAGTAGAGGCTGGCAGATTATCTGAGGTCAGGAGTTTGAGACCAGCCCAGTCAGGAGTTTGAGACCAGCCTGGCCAGCATGGTGAAACCCTGTCTCTACTAAAAATACAAAAATTAGCTGGGTGTGGTGGTGCATGCCTGTAATCCCAACTACTTAGGAGGCTTAGGCAGGAGAATCGCTTCAACCCAGGAGGCGGAGGTTACAGTGAGCTGAGATCGCACCACTGTACTCCAACCTGGGCAACAAACCGAGATCCTATCTTAAAAAATAAAGTAAAATAAAATAAAATAGGCCAGACACCGTGGCTCACGCCTGTAATCCCAGCACTTTGTGGGGCCGAGAGGGGCAGATCACCTGAAGTCAGGAGTTCAAGACCAGCCTGGCCAACATGGTGAAACCCACCTCTATTAAAAATACAAAAAATTAGCCAGATGTGGCAGAAGGTACCTGTAATTCCAGCTACTTGGGAGGCTGAAGCAGGAGAATCGCTTGAATCTGAGAGGTGGAGGCTGCAGTGAACCGAGATTGTACCACTGCCCTCCAGCCTGGGAGATAAAAGCAAAACTCTGTCCCGAAAAAATAAAAATAAAATAAGTTTTAAAAACCAAAGTGATAAACTTTTGTTAAACAAAAATGGGCAAAAAGCAAATTCCTCACTTCTACAAAACAGAGTAACAGATGAATGATCAGTGTTGGTCAGGACATAGAACAACAGAAATATGCAATGCTTGGGGGAATTTAAAGTGGTATACCTTCTAAAAACAATTTGGCAGTACTCGCTAAAGATGCATATACCCTGTGCCCCAGCAATCCCTTTCATAGGTACTTGAGAAACTCCTCTATGTCCTCAAACCTGCTGACTGGTTTGCAACAGGATAAGGAGTTTGCACCACAATGTAAACCAACTATGGCTGACCCTTGAATAATATGGGTTTTGTTTTCTTTTTAAAGAGACGGGGTCTTACACTGTTGTCCAGTCTGAACTATAGTGGCTTGATCATAGCTCACTGCAGCCTTGACTTCCTGGGCTTGAGCAATCCTCTCACCTCGGTCTCCCAGGTAGTTAGGACTACAGACGCACACCACTATGCTGGGCTAGTTTTTTGTTGTTGTTGTTTTGTTTTTCTAATTAATTAATTAAATTATTTATTTCTTTCTTTTTCAGACAAGTTCACACTGTCACCCATGCTGGGGTGTGGTAGCAAATTCACTGCAGCCTCCCAAGAAGCTAGGAACACAAGTGTGCACCACTATGTCCTGCTAATCTTTGTTTATTTTTAGGAGACAGAGGGTCTTGCTATGTTACCCAGGCTAGTCTCTAACTCCTGGGCTCAGACAATCCTCATGCTTCCAACTTCCCCAAGTGTTGGGATTATGGGTGTGAGCCACTGCACCCAGCAACAACACAAGTTCACTTATACGTGGATTTTCTCCCACCTTTGCCACCCCTGAGATGGCCAGACTAATCCTTCATCTTCCTTCTCCCTCCTCCTCAGCCTACTCAATGTGAAGACAAGGATGAAGATCTTTATGATGATCTACTTCCACTTAATGAATAGTAGATATATTTTCTCTTACTTATGATTTTCTTAATATTTTCTTTCCTCTAGATTATTGTAAGAATACAGTATATGACAAATATACAGAAGACATGCTAACCAACGATTTATGTTATCGGTAAAGCTTCTGGTCAACAATAGGCTATTTGTATTTAAATTTTGGGGGAGTCAAAAATTATATATGGGCTGGATGCAGTGGCTCAGACTTGTAATCCCAGCTCTTTGAGAGGCTGATGGGGGAGGATAACTTGGGGCCAAGAATTTAGGACCAGCCTGGGCAATATAGCAAGACCTCATCTCTACAAACATCTTAAAAATTAGCCAGGCATGATGGTGGGCACCTGTAGTCCCAGCTACTAGGGAGGCTGAGGCACGGGAGGGCTGCCTGAACCTAAGAGTTTGAGCTGCAGTGAGCCATGATCATACCACTGCATCCCACCAGGGGCCACGGAACAAGACCCTATCTCTTAGGAAAAAAAAAAAAGAAAGAAAAAAAGTTATACATGTATTTTTGACTGCATGGGGTTGGGGGGTGAGGGGTCAGTGCATCAATCCTCACACTATCCAAGAGTCAGCCATATTTCTCTATAATGATGTTTAATTCAGCTGCCTTTTATTTTATTTTACTTTTTAAAATTAAAATTACTTTTTGCTGCCCATCACTGATTTTTAAAAATAAATAGCAAAACTGTCTTAATAAGTGTGATGATTTAAATTCTGGCACGAGCTTCTTATTTTGTCATGAATTGCCACTGAGTGCACTAAGAGAACATGAGAATGTTCATGGCAGCACCTTTGTAAAAGCAAAAACCTGGAAACGGCCCAATAGTCCAACAGTAGAGCTGACAAATAAATTGAGTACATGCATCTAATTCATACCAGAGTAAAAATGGTGTTATCACAGCTATCTATAAAAATATGGAGTTTAAAAAATAAAGTGCATCAAAGAAAATGTTTCCATTTATATGAAATTTCAGAAATACCAAAACTAAACAATTATGTTAAGAGATTTTTTTTAAGTAAATAAAGTCAAGGGAATGATAAACACAAAGTTTAGATTAGTGGCTACCTCTGAAGGGAGGGAAAAGAAGGGATCAGAGAGGGATACACAGGGAACTTCAAAGGCCATAACATTCTCTTTCCATAAACTTGTATGGTGAGTACACAAGTTTGTTTTTTTTTACCTTACACATACTCCACAATTTTTTAATATCTAATTCAGTATTTAGAAATGTTTTCTAATTGTCTAAAATTATTCCTCCTCCCTCACTCAAGTCCCTTGGTTGGCTCCAGCTTACCTGGTAGCTGGGTGTTACAGAGTACTGAATTCCTGTGGCTGACTGCATGGTCTCTGACACTGCTTCATACACAGGAGGGGCGGGGGCAAGCACCCGGTGCTGATGAGGAAAAGCCTCTGTGCTGCCAGGGATCCGACGCTGCTGGGCTGCATACACCGGTGACTCCTGGTCATCCAAACGCCGCTTCATTCTGCGCTCATGCTCAGGGATGCACTACAAAACCTGCAGAAACCAAAAGCAATAGCATGCAAGTCAATTCTCACTGCAGTGTGATGGATGCAACTTAGGAGTCACCCAAGTTTAGTATAAGCTTGATTCCCAGAGCTGATAATCTATTTCATCTTAGTGATGAAGTTTAAGTGCATGTGAGCATAAACACCCCCGAACACATTGTGAAGAACAAGTTATAACTGAAAAAGACAAACATTTAAATGACAGTTTTAATTAATTTGGTACTGTGAAGTTGAAAAATAGGCTCCGATTTAATATATAAACACAACCTTTTATCCCTTTATTCTCTAGTTTTCTCCTCAAATGCTATCATTCCTAATATTTATTACATATCCACATGCTGCAAAAATATTCAAGTGCTTCTTCTTAAATCTTCTCAAGACCTACTATTATAATTATGGTCTAATTTAAAATTTGTTTCAACAATTAAAATGGTATCATGGAAAGAACACTGTGCCAGGAATGGGAAGACAAAAGATTCTAGACTTGTCAATTTAAGAAGCTATGTACATTTCCTTTTTTTTTTTTTACTTTTTCTTTCTTTTTTTTTTTTTAAAAAAAAAAAAAAAAAAAAAAAAAAAAATGAAAAAAAAAAAAAAAAGAAAAAAAAATGAAGGAGAGGAAGAAAGAGGAAGAGGAAGAGAGAACAGGGGGCTTGCTTTATTGCCTGGGCTAGAATGCAGTCTAAAAATGGGTATGGCTATAATTGCGTTTAATAATAGAGACATGAAAAAAAAAATGAGGGAAGAAAATAACAAGCAGCCAACCAATATTTCATTTAAACCTGTAAATAGGTGTGATGTGGTACTGGTAAGAGTGTATATTTTGTGTATTTAAAGTGGAGAGTTCCATAAATGTTAATTAAGTCTACTTGTTCCAGATCTGAGTTCAAGTCCTGGATATTGATGTTAACTTTCTGTCTCATTGATCTGTCTAATATTGATGTTGAAGTCTCCCACTATTATTGTGTGGGAGTCTAAGTCTCTTTATAAGTCTTATAAATCTGGGTATTCCTGTATTGGGTGCATATATATTTAGGATCTTTAGCTCTTCTTGTTACATTGATCCTTTTATCATTATGTAATATCCTTCTTTGCTTCTTTTGATCTTTGTTGCTTTAAAGTCTATTTCATCAGCAAAAATTGCAATTCCTGCTTTCTATTTATTTATTTTTGCTCTCCATTTGGTTGGTAAATTTTTCTCCATCCTTTTGTTTTGAGTCTTTGTGTATCCTTGCATGTGAGATGGGTCTGGATGTAGTATACCAATGGGTCTTGGCTTTTTTTGCCTGTCTGTGTCTTTGGATTGGGGGATTTAGTCGATTTAAATTTAGAAATAATAATAATATATGTGAGTTTGATATTGCCATTTAATGTTAGCTGGCTGCTTTGCCCATTAGTTGATGCAAGTTCTTAATTATGTTGATGTTCTTTATTTTTTGGTTTTTAGAAAGGCTGGTATTTTTTAGAAGTTATGTACATTTCAACAAGTTCCTCATTCTATGTGAATTTCAGTTTCTCCAACTATAAAATAAGAAAGTTAGAACAGATCACTCCCAAGTTTTCTTCTGGTTCTAACAGTTATAAGATGAAATTCTCTTAGCTTAATAATATTTCTGTGGGAGGCAATTTCCTTCCTGCAGGACACAAAGAGTCTACAAACATTTGGCCTAGGAATCTACTTGGGTCTTAGGAGCTTTTCCACATCAGTATCACTAACACAAGCATAACACGCCATCAGTGAGAAAGAATGTGCCAGCCATCCAACGAAAAAAGGCTCCACCACTTTTCCAGTCCCAAAAAATCTCAAATAAAGATACCACTGCTGTGGAAAGAAGAAAAAATTACAGTAATAATGGGAGATTTAGCAAGCCACGCCCTCATCTGAAGTAAGGCTCTTTTTCTAAGCTAAAAAAAAAAAAAATCTTTACCTAATTTATAAGTCTACCCAACATCTTTTCTTTATCCCCTGGGAGCACAGAAGCCCTGAAGGGAAAGTAGTCTTTATAAGGACTCTCCATGGCTGTTTCACCTTTTCTTTGTCCTCACTATAGTTCTCAATCTGCCTGCCACTCTAATCCTCAGCCCTGAAATCCTGTCTCAGGTTTTTCTCACATTTCGCACACCTAGGTGGGTCCCTGACACAGCAGCACAACTGATTAATTTGCAAACTGGCCACTTTTATCTTTTTGTAAACTGGAGCCACAAATATGCTCTCTCTGTGGCCTGTAACTTCAGACTAAGTCTCTCAGCTTTGTGTGTGATAAATCTGTGGAACTCAATTAAATGGAGTTGAAAACATCTCTGACAGCTGCTGAGAAGAGATAATTTAAAATGCCTTAGCTAGTTATGCTTTCCTAGGTTTTTCTAGTATGAAGTAGCATGTTTAGCTTAGTATTCCAAAATCTTTTAACATATTAAGAGGTTGAGAATATAGATTTATGCATGCTGTTTGATATCTGAAGAGCCACTGATCAACTACGAACACTAAACCTCAACCTGTTTTGGGATGAGGAATTGGGTCTAATCAACAGACAGAGTAAAATCTCTTTTTGGCTATTTTTTATATACGTTCATGACCTACGTGGTTTGATGCAGTGGCTCGTTCCTGTAATCCCAGCACTTTGGGAGGCCAAGGTGGGCAGATCACCTAAGGTCCAGAGTTCGAGACCAGCCTGGCCAACATGGTGAAACCCTGTCTCTACTAAAAATACAAAAATAAAAATAAAAAAAAAAGAAAAGAAAATACAAAAATTAGCTGGGCGTGGTGGTGAACACCTGTAATCCCAGCTACTTAGGAGACTGAGGCATGAGAATTGCTTGAACCCAGGAGGCAGAGGTTGCAGTGAGTGGAAGTCTCGCCTTTGCACTCCAGCCTGGGTGACTGAGACTCTGTCTCAAACTAAAAAAAAAAAAGGAACAAACAATTATAGAAAGGAAAAAAAAAATAAAAAAATGTTAAAAAAAAACAAAAAAAGATTAAAAAAAAAAAAAAAAAAAAAAAGCTTTATAGGCTGGGCACAGTGGCTCACACCTGTAGTCAGGAGTTTGAGACCAGCCTGGCCAACACGGTAAAACCCCGTTTCTACTAAAAATACAAAATTAGCCAGGCATGATGACGCATGCCTGTAATCCCAGTTACTTGGGAGGCTGAGGCAGGAGAATCACTTGAACCTGGGAGGCAGAGGTTACAGAGAGCCGAGATTGTGCCACTGCACTCCAGGCTGGGTGACAGAGCGACTCTGTCTCAAAAAAACTTTATAAATAATAAGCCAAAATCAGATGTGAAGAGCACAGTATGACTACAGGAAAAAAACACTAAAGTACCTTTCAAGAAGTGGATTCTATTGGATGGGAGAACGTTTGAGGGCAAAAAATAAAAACAAAAAAGAACTGGATTTTACTCCAAACGCTGACAGGAAACTTTCTAATTTTAGCTCTGTTTTCAAACAGCCTATAAGGAAAAAGAGGATTGTAGTGAGCTTACCATAGATTAGGTATTACATTACTCTAGTTTATTCTGATATTAGACCCTATCTTTTGGCTGTAAAAACATCATTTCTTTTATAAAATGATTGTGACTTGATATGGTATTTAACTTCATCCACCTCCAGAGTTTGCTTTCCATACCATCTCTACAACACTGCAGAGGCTGAACTTTCTTTGAACTATACTTTAATCCTTTAACAATTACCACTCATAGTTCTAATAGAGTCTCGCCCTGTCATCCAGGCTGGAGAGCAGTGGTGTGATCTCGTCTCACTGCAACCTTCACCTCTCGGGTATAAGCGATTCTCCTGCCTCAGCCTCCCAAGTAGCTGGGATTACAGGTGCCCACCACCCATGCCCAGCTAATTTTTTGTATCTTTAGTAGAGATGGGGTTTCATCATGTTGGTCAGGCTGGTCTTGAACTCCTGACCTTGTGATCCACCTGCCTCGGCCTCCCAAAGTGCCAGGATTACAGGCATAAGCCACTGTGCCCAGCCCCATAGTTCTATTCTTAACTATCTCTCAAATAAATTGCTTCCCCTCTAATCATACCCCCTTATTTCAGGTCCTCATCATTCTTTACAACAACCCTATAGGTGGGATGTTCTCTAATTTATGAATGAGGAAACTGAAACACAAAGATTAAGTAAACTGCCCCAAGGTTGGCTGCCCAGGTAGTAAAAGGCCAAGCTAGGATATGAATCCAGGAAATCTGTCTCCAGAGCCTGGACTCTTAACTATTTCCCCACCTTAGCTCTCACAGAAGAGAAGAAATTAAGGAAGACTCCCTTTACTTATTTAAGACACACATGCAGGGAGCAAAATCAGCTTTCTTTAACCTTGCACACACTTAGCAAAGCCATCATTCTTCAGCCTAAACCTAAGAAAGCAGGAATGCTTTAGCAACATTCATTTACTACATCAGCAAAATGTTCAGTGAGCAGAAATGAAGATGGTAGATAATTTCAGCCCTTGCCCTCTAAACATATAAGAACTAGTTGGGAAAACATATATAGTCTCACTAGTAATAAAAAAATATGTAAAGTAGGCTGGGTGCGGTGTAATCCCAGCACTTTGGGAGGCCAAGGCGAGCAAATCACTTGAGATCAGGAGTTTGAGACCAGACTGGCCAACATGGTGAAACCCTGCCTCTACTAAAAATACAAAAATTAGCCAGGTGTAGTGGCGGGCACCTGTAATCCCAGCTACTCGGGAGGCTGAGGGAGGAGAATCGCTTGAACCTGGGAGGCAGAGGTTGCAGTGAGCCAAGATCGCGCCACTGCACTCCAGCCTGGGCAATAGAGCAAGACTCAGTCTCAAAAAAAAAAATTTACTCCAAAGGAATTGGCAGATAAAACCCCACAATGATAGCGTGGGTAAGGATACAGGGAAACACTGATGGGGGAGGTTGTAATTGGTACAGCCTCTATTGTTGGCAACTTGTAGATATTTATTAACATTTGTTTATTTTTTTTTTTTCTTTTTTTTTTTTTTTTTTGAGA